ACGAAATTATCAAGATGAGAACTGACCCTTTCAGCTGAGATTGTCAGAACAAGGAGAAAGGAATCTGTGTCATTTTCACTGTGCATGACACTGTCGTGGTGTACGCTAGTGTAACTGCCTTTTTTTTAGTTGGACTGCATTTTTTTATTTGGGGGCTGGAAAGGGGAATAAGTTAAAAGTAAATTTACTATTTTTTTTATTTTACCAGGTAAGGCCCACTGAGCTATATAGTTATTTGTCAGTAAAGCAACCTGGCCACAAATGATAGCTTAACGAAGTGGCTTATCACGTGGACATTTATAGCAGCCAAATACTGTAAACACGTGACGTTGATTCTAAATGTTTTGGTGAAAAATTAGAGGACCCGGAGAAAAATCCACTCAACCACGGGGAAAACGTGCAAACCCCAGGGGTCACAGTCGGGATTGAACCCACGACATCCTGTATACCAGGATGTCTACACAAAGCTAAAGAAATGTGCTAAAAAAACTACTCACACTGGATGTAAAATTAAATATAGCAGTAAATAAAAACAAACACGTCACTGGTGCTTATTTTTTTAAAACAATTATGCATTCAAAAGGGAGATTTAAAAAATGTCGTACATATCGCATATGTGGAGTTTTGATCTTGGAAAAAGGCATCACTCATTTTCCGGCAATTTGAGTTTTGGCACCGGGGTTTGTGGCAGCAGAGGTGGAAATGAAGGAATGCCTCCTACTTTACTTTGGGTCCTTTGAGCCGAGTGAGATGGGGGTCATTGAAGCCACATAAACCTGTCTATGTAGGTGTGTGTGAGCGTTCATGGGATTATCTTCTGCGTTTGATTCATACACCCGAATTATTGCAAATTAAAAAAAAAATATTCCTCATTGTGGCCCTTGATAAGATGCCACCACACTGTGATTATGTAGATATATTCTGTTGTATCTGTTCAACTTCATATGCTGCAATAGACACCGGTTTGTTGATTTATTTACTTCATCTTTCTTTTACCCGGTTGTATTCTCTCGCGCTATCGACATTCACATCACGTGATCGCGAATCCATTTGGAAATCTCGGAGAGCAGCGTGACCCCGTCCCATGTCAGAGAACGGCTGAGTAAGATTTTTCTTCTCACGAGACTTCTTCTGAAAAATCATTCAAGTGGCCTCTCTATCCTTGGCACAGTTGGGGGTCACACTTTCACATGACGGTCAAATGAATATATTTGAAGTCTCAAAACGGGAATGTAGCCTGAATTAATTGTAAACCGAATTTGACTTAATATAGGGTGGAGGCATTACGTGGAAATAATTTGTGACTGAGCTGAGACCATCAACTCACTACACTTGAGAACCCAAATACGAAACCAGGATTTCAGTGGAATCGGCTCGATGATCTGACCTCTGAACCACCCAGTCACCTTTAACAAAATACTCCAAATGGCAGTTTAAAACAATAATTTACAGCACTTTGGTAATGCAATGCTGGATGAAGGCCTCCCATGCCGTGTCGATCGCAAGGGTTGTTTGACCATACTTCACCACACACTGATCAGTGCGTGTTTTGTTTTTTTCTGGAAGATTTTCTGGTTTATCCAGGATGTTTCTGTTGTGCGTCGTCGCTTTAAAAACGTTCTCTGTTCATATTTCGTTTGTTGCGGTTGCACCCGACTCAAGAGCCGCATGGCTCACAGGGCTACACCTAATAAATGACACTTGAAAACTAAATGAAACTTGAAACTACAGAGGGTACCCAGGATTGGTTCGGATATCACTCGCCACTTACGTTAGCTGAGGTCGAGATAAAACGTAAGGTTCGCAGGTTCACAGGGCAGTGTGCTAACCATTGCGCAAACTGCTCCATCCCAATGCCAGTCAAACCTGGCATCTTCCGAATTGCAAGTTGCAGTGTGCTAACCATTACCCCGATGCAGCGTGGCAGTTCAAACGACGAATACGTTTCCTTAATCCACCCCACCTCTGGCAACCCAGCAGGTCACATCTGGTGGGGTAAAAGTATGGGTACTACGTCTGGCCAGCGTGGAAGAGTAGGCCAAAGTAGCTCCCTTGAGCTCCCCCGAGTTAAGGCCATTCTGCCGGCAGTGGCGTGAGCGAACAATTGCAGAGCTGCGCCTTCATATTTTCCCCCGTGAAGGAAAAAGTAGTCAAGAGGCAAACCTCTGGTACAGATCGTCAAAAATAGGGGTTCGTTACCCGTTTTACTTCTGTCCATAGCCGTCACAGTAATCAGCTGCGCCCAAAGTGCATGAGCTTGCAGCACTCACGTTATCAAATGCAGCAAGTATAAAGCTGGTCATAAATTGGACGCATTTGAAGATATACCCTTCGCAGAAGAGGGACAAGCTATAAAACAGGAACTCGAGGCCTCTTGCAAGGCATAGCAATAAATCACGCGGGGGTCCCCTGAAAGCTGTAACGCTGCCTGTGCTGAAAAATCTGGTTAGATTGAGAACATTGGAGCATTCCCGTCGTCTGTGCGAGTCTCCGGATGAAAGCGGGGACATTTAAAAGGTGTGCTTAATGTAGCACGGAATAATCAGGGCACTAAAACGCCCCGAGGTATCATCACACCTTCTCATTACTGCTACCCTAGGGGTGAAGTGGGTTTATTGGTCACCGCTAGTTTTATTCTATTGCTGAACAACATAACCGAAAATACCCCGGCCCTTATTTGACACTCGTGGGTGAGGTAGGCCATTCATCCTCATCCAGGCCATTCAAATTACTTTAAGGTGTATGCATGCTTTATATATATGTACTTAAACGAGAAACAGAATGGAATTGTGCGTCCTGCATACCTGTCAAGTCTCCTGCTTAGAATCACTTAGTTTAGCCGTGAAATACAGGAGGACCAGAGATTTCCCAGCAGGCAAACAATGCGCTCTTTAAATAAAAAAAAATGCGATTTAGAATTAGATTACATTTCTGGAAGTGGCAGAAGAAGGAATTTTGGGCGAGCAGGGCCAAGAGCGAGGTGGTGAGTGGTGAGGCGGGGGTGGGATAAAGGGGGGGGGGGTTCTTTACAGATGGAAATCAAGTGGCATTATCCACAGACCAACGTATTTCCATCAAGAGGGGGCCTCAGCAGTAGTGTGGGTGTGTGTGCACGCTCTCAAGTATCGGGGGACCGAAGCGAAAATGATTTTTCAGGGCCTCCCTTTTCGATTTATAAAATCCTCGTGAAATGTCAAAGGGGGATTGATAAGGTGATAGAGATGTGGTGAGACGAGAGATGCACACTAAGTCGAGATGACAGAGTTTAGTTGGCTTCGTGTTAATTAGCTCGTTATGCTGGTTGTGATTTTGAGATGATGTATGATGCACCCCAATTGCCGTAAATCCGTGACCCCTTGAGCTACGTGGGGACATACACTTTCGCTTGCTTTCCCTATTTTTGCCACTGGGCCTCAGATATGTCGGTACAGTGACGGTCACCTACAGTCTAACCTTCATTTGTGCTCTGCTCTGGCAGTGGGTGTAGTCCCTTCGTTATAAAAAAACCCTGTATATTTAGTTTTTATTTGTTCATGAGAATGTGGTGCCTTTTGCTCATACAGAAAGAAAATATAAACATAATTTGCAAACGTGTTTTTCGGTTGGCTGAGGATGACATTTCATCTCTTGTAATTCAACACTTTCTTATATTTAAGTTGTTGTCTGCCTTTAAAATGAGGCTTTAGATGTCAACGGGCTGTCTCCTGGTGTCAAATAAAGGTGGTTAAAGGCACAGCCCTGCAATTGCTTGCTCACTGCTGGTGAAAGGGCTTCCACGAAAGGAGAGCTCCTCTAGCGGGGACTACGAATACTAAGTTAGATTTTACATATGAATATTTATGCCATAACCTCAGGCCCTTGACTAAATAAAAAAAAACATTTTAAATGTGTAACTTTGACCATATGAAGGTGAAAATGTTCACCTCATTAGGACAAATGAAAGGAATGACCAAATGCATTGCTGATGGTGCTACACTTCCATATTAAGGTACCGTTTGTTTATTTATCCATATATGAAAATCCCTGCGTTCAATTTCCAGTCACGGCTAAAACGAGACGTGGGGTGATATCTGAACCGGTTTTCACCCCACCACCACGCCGCCTCCTTCAATAGACCGCGCCGATAATTCTCCGCGGGGAGGCCTTCATCCAGCAGTGGATTGGCAAAGGATTGTAAAGTGTTTATAGTTTTGTACTCTTTTTTAAGTCATGCAGACGGTCTTTATTTTAACTAGCATGAATTAACGATAATTAACTGGGTTAAGAAACCATAGAAACACGATATTTCATCTGACAATTTTTGTTCCCGGTTAAATATTTTCAATAAATTCAATATAAATGCATCTTTTTCAAACAAATAATTAGCACTTGCATTAGAAGCACACAACTTAAAACGTCCGATGAGGAGATGGAGCAATAAATTCCGTGCATGGGCAGGTGTTAGGTGGATTATTACATCACAGGATCGTGTGAGAAGTGGCGGCAACTTGGAGAGGCCTTCATCCAGCAGTAGATTGACCACGGCTGGTCGACGATGCCGAATTAATAAAAAAACATACATAACAAAGGCAGCCTGTGAGTTAAAACCAACGCAAGGTGCGTCTGCCAGTCCTCGCTCCGCTCAGTCTGACCACATCGCGTGCAGGCTTGCAAAAAAAGCTACGAATGCTATCCACCAGATATGCCGCGTAACCATTAAGCGTGGCCTTGACGGTCACTGCGGGCCACGATGGTGGCTCGCGATTTCTACGATTCCATAGAGGGCATCAGCGGACCGCTAGGCTCAGACGAAATGTCTTAGGCACCCAATTCAAAAGGGGCGTTGGAACCCACGGTAGCAAAACAAATATGGAGGCAAGGTGGAGAGAACAGCGAGGGTGGGGATTGCTCTGGGAGTGGGGAGGGGTGCAGGATAGGGCCCACAGTGGCCCGATTGGGAGTCAGGTTTCAGTGGCTCGCTTGGGGGTCGGGAGGGCCGTCCCTAACGCATCGTTCTGACTGCCCCATATAGTCTGAACCGGCCTGCGGAAGAAGGGCATACAGCAGAACCCGGCCTGGTGGCGGCCGAGGGTAGAATTTATAAAATCACAAAGTTTTCTTCTGGGGCCCGGGTAAAGTCGGGTTAAAAAAAAAAATCCCAACAAATTTTCAACAATAACAAAAAAAATTCCAGTGGGGGCCACGTTCACGCCGTGTATGTTTGGACAATAACCGGTGGATGAGATCGTACTTTGACCACTCCTGTGTACTTTAATCGTTTCTTAATTTTTTTTGTTCTGCGTGCGTGTTATACGAACCAGGACACGTATAACACGGCTATATACATGCCCACCGTTTAGATAAATGTCCAACATGTTGGCTGCAAGGAACCTGCTGCTGCTGCTGATCGCGGCACAAGCGCTACTGGTGACCGTGGTGAAATGTCAAGATGACCTCAGTAAGTGAACGATTAATCTTAATCCTCAGTGGTGGGGAGGGGATGTGGGGGCGGGGTGAGTAATTCTTAATGGGATTGCTTGAACTGTGTGGGAAGGACCTTTTAAACTTAATTATCCAGCGTGACTTTTGCACAAATTACAAAACAATTTGTTACGAAATTATTTGTTGCAAAAAAAATCGTACACGCGTACCGTTGACGGCTTAATTGCTTCCAAAAAAAAATCGCTTTCTATGAGTTAATTATTAACGAGGCCAATATTGTACACAGAAAGACATTTGTTGTGTTGCAGTAAAAAAAAACTCTATTGAACAGATCTGAAGTAAGCAAGTGTGAGCATTCAAATCAAGCGGCGTGCAAATAATGGATTTATCGCGACGAGCGGGGAATCTATTAGCACCTGCTCGAAATGTCCTACTTGGCTTGAACAGCATTGCAGCCGGATTGCTGCTCCATTTCAGTTGCGGTAATTGGGTCAATTCTCATCCGTGGCCGTGGGCACCCCGCGTCCAGCCCACCTCCACTCGAATCCCACTCGAGTGGAGGTCCCGAGAGGCCCGGGGCGTGTGATGCCGAGAGCATGACGCACATAGTCTCGAGATATTTACTTCGCCGACACACGCAATAGCGGCGGCCGTATATTGCTAATTGCGTAAGGTGTCACGCCACGATCGCTCCCTCTCTCTCTCTTAAATTGCGGTGCTGTTTTAACCGCATTGTTATAATTGAGTATTACGTGCATTGTACCACAACAAGCAGGGGGGGGGGGGGTTACTGGGAACGAGCGTGAAGCTTCAACGAGCTGTCACGGCGTTAGAAGTAAAGTTGTTGCTTCGTTGACGAAACATTTTTGGTTGCCATAAATGCATTTGTTTGTATATGTATGTCTGTTGAACTTCTTTCGCGCCGTACGTCGCCAACCGCGCTAATCGGTGGTTGCGGGGACAGGGCAACAAACGAAACAACAACAAAATCAGTATCGCGTTTAATTGGCGAGATACGACTGAGATCTGTTGTGGGTCACACTATAGCGAGGTATGGCTCTTGATAGCAGAGGCAGGTGCATATATTTTTTTTAACTCGATGTCAATCAATAGAGTGGAGTGCATCGCTGCGAGTAATGGGCACGGACAAGTTTGACTTTGAATAGGTTTGGGAAAAGATAAAAGTCCTTGTGGGTCTCTTGTAAGCAAACCCGTATATGACAGGGGATTGACGTGTGGCAAAGTCTCATTCACAGAGACAGCCTGCGTGCGTGTGGACATATCCGAGGGTCACACCGCAATGGGAATTTCGCTGCCCAGGGAGGTCAGTTAAAACCGAATTTGGTATTTGGCCCACAGAGGCTGCATTGGAACGGTTATACATTTTTGAGGAAGCACCTTGTGAGAGCTGTAATCCTATATTGCATGTGATTTCACGGTCAGGAGGAACTAACGGCACGCGTGGTCACAAATGTAGCATATGATGCAGTGCTGCGTTACGTGGTGTGAAATGGTAAAAACGACCAATAGCGGGGTTTTTTTATTGAACTTGCATATACAGTCTGTGTACGATGTTGCATATGTATTCCCCTCCATTGAGTGTGGTCGGTCGGTACACTGTTGTATTGCAGTCATGCTGGAACCATGCTGTGAGCAGGTTACGGGACAATTATCAAAGACAGCATTTGGTCGAGCTTAACACAAGCGCCTTATGCGCTTGTGATTTTTTTTTTAAGAATGAGCATAGTCGCTACCTTTGACTAAATCACATGTAAATGCACCCTCCCTCGTCAGATCTCGGATGCTCAGCAGATTTGAGCTTGGATAAGTAAGGTGCTATAGGCTTCCGCGGGGCTACGTTGTGGGGAGCAGAGGGCCGTACAGTAAAAATTCGTTGTTGTACTGTACTTCAATGCTTCCTCGTCAATGCTCACAAACATTCACCCACCCGCACTGACAAGCGTGGTGAAGGATGGTAATGGAACCTGTACTCACCCAGTAGTGGATTGGCAAAAAGGGCTGCACATGAGTGCATCGTGTGTGAGAATTTTTTTTGTTTTGCTGTAAAGCTGTTTACTGAAGAGCTTACAGCGTTATTCCTGCCATGTGTTCTTGCGGGGCAAACACTGTGGCGTTGAACAGTTGGCTCTGATTTCACACTGCAAAGGAGGAAGGGAGAAGCGTCTGCATTCAGCAGCCCTGTAGCATTGAAGTGCGGGGAGGGGGCTGGGCTGGAGGGGGCTGAAGGTTTAGCCCCAATTCTAAATTGTTATGGTCAAGTAAATTTTTTGGGGGACAAAATAGCATAATTGAAGCGATGGATGTTGCAGCCTTTTCTTGAATGCGTAGAGGGGTCGAGATCGTAGAGCGAGAATGCACGAGAGACAAAAGCGGATCGCATCGGTACTCATCGTCGTTTTGAGCATTTAACGTGAGCTGAAAGCTTTATCAACATTGGCTGTGTCATTTCCACCATTAACTTTTATATAACTCCCCCCCCCTACTCATCTTAAACAATACCGCCATGCTACAGAGATTACGCTGCGTTGCTGTGACGCTCTCAGCCTATGCCCGTGCAGCGTCGCGGCTGAGGTGAAGTTGCTTAGTTGGAATACTTTTTTTGAAAGCTTAATAACCAATTATTTACCCCGCGCAAACATTCACACCACCGGTCGATAACTTCTAAATTGAAGGAAGACTAAGTCTTGTTGTTTTTATTATATGGGAATTGTTCTCCCCTATTATAATGTCTGCTAATTAACTGTCACATTTCGGTCGCAATTGCAGCAAGCAGTCATTAACAACAACAAAAAAGCCTCCACTCTAATTATGTATTCACACTACGTTTGTGCAACAGCTTGGCTCTGGCAAAAAAAAAGTAAGGGGCATTTCACAGTTTGGCTAGACCTGTGGCACGCAGTCGGCATGCCCGAGCGGAACCAAAGCCCATATTAATAAGTCTGCAGAAAAAGCAAACACGCCAAAAAAAAGAGAGAGAGCGGGTATAAGACAGCCTCTTCTGCTGCCGGCCCAGAATGTGGTCAAGCGGAGAGATTAGCTTGCAAGGAGACCTCCGCGCTGAACAAAAGCGAGTTTTGTTGGCTCGGGAGCCCTCATCCTAACTCCATCCCCATTCACCCTCTACCCCACTGCCTCCCTCCAGCCCACGGCTCCCGAGAGCCCCCAATTGCCCCCCCCCTCACCCCTCCCTCTTTGGCATTTGAGCAGGGTTCAGGACTTGGCGTGACCTACCGCGGCGCGGCGCAATGCCTAATCATAACAGTCTCCACGCGGAGCTGCCGGGAGCCCAGGGAGGGCAAGGAGCGATGTGTGTGTGTGTGCGTGTTGCGATGAATATAATCATCCGCCTCCGTTCCCTCCACCCCACACCGTCTCCCAACCTCCTCTAGTCCCTCCACCCACATGCCAAGCTGATAATGTGTCCGTGAGATACCTCGCCGAAATATGATCTATAGGATGCCTCCGTGGACACGTGCTACGGAGACAATTTGCCGTTTGTGGGGGTTTTTTTTAGGGTGGAGGTGGCGGGGGGGGGGCGCAGAAATTTTGTCCCATTGCTTTGCTGAAGTCTCAAAATTGATTTTGAATATTGTGGGTGTTGTGCAGTGGTAGGTTTATTTTGTCATGGGGACAGGCTAATATGATTGATACAATCCAATAAGCATTTGCCTTCTTTTTTATACAAAACTTCACGAAATAATGAACAAACTTTAAGTTTGACATCTATTACAAAAGAGCAGGAAATTTTTTTAAAAAAAAGTTTCCAAGATAATTCATTTATTTTGAAGGATCATAAGAAATAGTTTTTTTTTAATATAAAGTAAAGTTATATTTAAGAGTTCAAATCAATAAAGATGAATCCTTTATCTACATCGAGATACAACCCCAACAGGGATAACATAGTTATATAGATTTTCCATTTCTATATAGAGCACAAGTAGATTATTTAATCTAAGTCTTAATTTATAAAGACATGGGGCGACCGACCAACTTGGCTTCACGAATATTAAAATGTACACTCAGTCACGAATTGAAAGTTAACCATTCCAGCCGTTACCAAACTCCAATCTATGCGTTTTGGGGCCATTCAGCAATCCAACAATGAGCGTCGACTAATCAACAGATGTACAATCCGCATCATGGAATTTCCTTGCGAGCCGTGATAGAAACCATTTGAATGCAGAATGGAACCTGTAAAAAAACATTTCGCAGAAAAGATTTGTTCACGTGACAACTTTGCTAATTTACGGTGACGGGTGGAGAAGGGTTTTTTTTACAACGCACAATTTGACTCAAGCGATCCTATCCAAAAATCAATTAGACTGTTTAAATATACTTTTTTTATTTCACCAGATAAGACCCACCGAGCTACATAGCCCTTTTTTCAGAAGCGACTTGGAAATTTATAGCAGCCAAATGCTCTAAACGCACCGGAGGACCTGGAGAAATAGACAAATATACAAAATTGATTTGAAGCTTTCGTGAATGCAGGAATAACTACCTGACTCTTCCCAAAGAACCAAAGGGTATAAATATACAGACGTCAGAGTCGGGATCAAACCCACGACCTCCTGCATACCAGGCGAGGTAGTTAACATCTCGCCACCGTGGCGCTCCTATAATGAGAACAGTTATGAATGGGAACAAAAGGGTTTGTTACTCAAACATACAAATCATCCTTACAGATGTGAAATAACTGCAATAGGAAACATTAGCTCAGTGTAAAAGCATATGTCTCCACGTATAAACACAAATGTGCATATTCTGTCAGCCTTCTGGCTTTCCAGCGAGCAAACTCTGGACCGGTTTCTACCTTCTTGGGTCTCATCAGCAGAGTCAGACTTGTTCAACACATTCTGCCGCATTATATGTTATTGACAAGAATGCTCCATGTAAACAAAAAATTGGCACCCACATTTCAGTGGGTTCACGTGGAATTATGCTGACGTCTGCATTTATCATAGATGCTTTCAGTGTAAAGCTCCAACCGGCTGCACCTCCCGGGTGGAATGTGACGGTATTCGCAGGTGTGGTACTGCCCTCCGCGTGAATGACACGTGATATAAAACATGTACAGTAATACGTCTAAAGATCTCTGGGAAGATCGACGGAGACCTCGGGCGGGTTTTTATTTTCCACCTTATCGCGAACCTTTGACAGTCCACACGGTATTTGTACGGTCTGCCGGTGCACAGACGAGAAATATACCAATGTTATGTCGTCTTATCTGTCAAAACCACACACACAGCCACCTTCATCGCAAGAAGGCATCGCAGTGTAAAATCTTTAATTGTAGTCAACGGTGGCGCTCGGGGACATCGTCGGTAAAAAGCAATCTGAACTGTAAATAAGAGCTTTCAAAAAAACACATCGTTTGGCGAAGAGAGTACGTTCATTCGAAAGTATATTTGTGAGCGCGTACTCAATCCGCGCGACTTCAATTGCAATATCCAAATAGGAGGGGTGGACGATGAGCAGCTTGCGTGCGCCTTTGCCGATGCGAGCACCGTTTATTGAGTTTAATCCCTGGCCGCGGCTGACATCAGCGGTGAGTGATATCTGAACCCCGTGATGCCACCGGCCCGTTTCCCTTCTGCACCAGCGCGTACTGACCCAGCGAGGTTAAGTACGGTCACACATCCAATGCCCGACACGGTGAGAGCGGAAAGGCCTTCATCCGACACTGGCTCGACAGAGGTGAAATTTGAAATTGGTAAATTAACGTAAAATTGTATTCCTGATTGCTACATCACTGGTGTGCAAATACTCTGCAGTTCGGTTCTGAATGAATATTTGTTTTTTTTACCGAGGCAAACCCATTGCATTACAAAGCTCTTCTTCAGCAAACAACAGTGATGAGGATGATGACTCATGGTCCAAAAGTATTTTAAATGAAACTCTGTGGTGGCTGGGCTAAACAAGAACCCAACATTGCCTGTAGGGCTGAGTACTAATGTGTCTCATCAGTGAGTTTAGCACCGTGGCAAAATGAAACTTTCCACAAATAGCCAGGCTCGTGGTAGCAATTCAGCATACAAATGTTACAATTTTGGATGGTAACATGCATACACAGGGCTTTGCCACGGTAAAATTACCAGTTGGAATCTAATTCAGCACCACTCATGCTGTTTTTTTCACTGTAAGTTAATGTTTCAATTCCACTTTGCTACTGTCTTAAACTGCAGGTAGTGATGTTAGCGTGATTGCCCGATGAGTGGTGGTGAAATAATTCATAAATGAAACGTGCACCTGGAATGACTAGTCAATTAAACTCCTGAATTTGGAGATATATATAAAAAAAATCATCGCCCATTTTTTTTCACGCGGTTGATTACTCGGGGCATTTTCAAAATTGGCAGCCGCCCCCGCATCCTTCCTCCTGAAGGTGGGACCCCCCCCCCCCCCCCAACAAAGCCACGCCCAGCGCGACGTGGCTTTGAACGCCGATCACGGGCACCAAACCCCGCCCAACCCCTCCCCTTTAGTGGCAACGCGGAGGAACGGAGGTGAGACTTTTTTTTACCCCCCCCCCAACTATTTTCGCGATATCCCAATACGTCGAACAATCGAAGCGATAGTCGTGGGAGTAATCGTTCACTTTAAAACAAATCGGACATCCGGGCTCCAGCGAAACGTCAGAAAACTTGCTGTGTGACCCTGATGTGCGATTGCGTGTAATTTATAGAGCAAAACATTGAAAACAAAATCGCAACATTTTTCATCTGAGTGTGGGTAATGTCTGCAGACTACAGTTGAAGAACCGGACACGTGGTATTAATGGTTAACTAATTGTATAATTAACCATTATGTCAAGTTCAACGTTTGCGAAATATAACCAGAACAATCTAGCACTTACATATTCAGCTGCGAAATATCAAGAAAGGGTGGTGATGGCATGCTGTACGATTTAAATGTGTACAAATATAGAAAACTGAAATGTATATCAAGTACAAAAAACGTACCTTAATGTTGTTAAATTTGCTTCTTGCAGGTGGAAAATTGTTCAGAACAAAGATTATGAAAATATGTGTCGTATGAAAACAACTGTCCATACAATGCTTTTCTCATGCCTTTTCAAACATAAGCTGTGCAATTTTTCAATAAAAAATGCTTTGCAATTGAAGCTTCACTTATATTTGGATGCATTTTGCCCAATGGTAAACATCGCAGCGTGATGCCGGCAACAGTTTATTATTTGTCTAACCACTTGAAGATATTCCACAAACTCATGCGCCCTCAACGCCCTCTACCGGACTAATAAATGATAGCGTTACATTCCTGAACAAGTTAAAGGCCCTTTAAACAGTTTTGTTGTTGCGTGTGTATGGCTGTAATTGATTGTATATTAGAGACCAATAAATAGACGCGGGTATGTGCCAGTGATACACCGAGCAAAATATTTCCTAGGGAAAAAAATAAAACATCCTTTCCTTCCACGCGTTTGATTGATGGTAAAGTGCATGAGCCATTCATTTGCCTTGCCTCTACCACTCCACTGCTGGCGAAAGAGCCTCCACTGGAATGGTATTTTTGGCCTACTCTTGTACACTGGCCAGACATTTTTTGGAATCGGCCCGAGGTTTCCACACTTTTACCCTAAAGGAGCGCTTTACCGGCTGATCTGCGGTGTCCACATTTATACTGCGGTCGGAATCTTAAAAGAACGATTCCATCGTTTAAACTGCCGCTGGCTAGCACGTCCAGGGCGCTAACCACGACGCAACGATGGTATCCCTCCCATCAACTGTTAAATTTTTTTTCAATCTAAAAAAATCGTAGGAGGCTCCAACTTCTCGTTTATCCCCCCCCCTCCCCCGCTTACACTCGGTGTGTACCTATGGTATTTTACGCATTTTTAGCTTGGCAATAATGTACTGCCCTCAGTACATTATTGCCAACCGTGATAATCGGAGGTGTGGGGGAAGGACAACAAAATAAGCTCGTAGGGCCAATTTAACTTTTATGGTGCGCAGTAGCACAGATTTATTTCAATATTGTATTCCCTCTCCCCCCTGGTAGACCTGTAAATCAACGCCCGTTAGGTTGACGTTGCATCGTACGCTCAATGTTACTCAGCAAAATGCATCCAAAGCACCTGGGTTGGGTGCTCACAAAGTGACAACGGTTACCGTCTGAGCTCTGGAGACGGTGGTAATGGCTTGCGCATTGGGAGCCCTGAGCATTAATTTTAAACATTGAGCCCCCCCCCCCGCCCCGCACTTCCCTTTCATAAAATCCCTGAATTCATAAAATCATAGTGAGACGGCAGAAAATAAATATCCATACAGTGAGATAAGAGAAACATAGCAGCCAAAAATTGCGATGCGGTGAGATGAGAAGAGCGAGACAAGATTAAAAAAAATTACAAGGTAAAGACGAGAGAGATGAATTGACTCGTTTGTGTTAATTATTTCGTTACGTTTATCAGGATTTAATTTCAGCCAATATTCCATTTCTTTCCCTCCCCCCCCCCCCCCCCCCCCAAGAATTCGGTGGCCCACTTTAGCTGCTTGGAGTCCAAGGCTCTTGCTTGGCTCACCAATGCCCAGCGGGCACCACTGTCTCGACGGCTTTAACAATCCTGGGCTTTGCCACCAGCTGCCCCCCCCCCCCCGCCTCGGAACTAACGCGCCGAACCCTTGCCCTCCTTCCCCTCCTGGCCCATCGCGGTATGAGCAGGCGAGGATGGCAGCTGTGTGCAGGACGGGCAGCGCTACAGCGACAAGGACGTGTGGAAGCCGCAGCCCTGCAGCATCTGTGTCTGCGACAGTGGCAGCATCCTGTGCGATGACATAGTCTGCGAGCCGCTCTATGACTGCCCCAAAACGGAGATTCCCTTTGGGGAGTGCTGCCCTGTCTGCGCGTCCAGTCAGCCCTCATCCGGTCCGATTGCTTCTCCTTTCCCACCCGCACACTCTTACCCGTCACCAGCGTCAAATGTTGTGCAGCGTGTACCCTCCCGCTACACCACCCCCCCCCCCCCTCCGCCGCGTGTTTACGGGTCGTGCCGCGCTGTCGTTTGGCCCGGCGTCCGCTGCTTCGCTCCGCGTGCTGGGGAGCTGTAAGGAAACTTCTTTAAACGGAGATCGGCTTATCGAGGAACCTGAAGTCGGTTGTCAGTTCCTGAACGTGCTCCCAGCGCGTGGAGGCGAAACGTCGGACATCGTGCGGAACAGCACCGCGGTACAACTCGAAAACGCATCAGCGGGCTACGCGGCACAACTGCGAAAACCTACGCAGTTGTGAACCCTCCCTGTCCCCCACCTTTTTAATCGGTCTGTTCGCCTTCTCTTTACGCACACGTTCTCTTACCGAGCAGAAAACGGGGATTCATTTCAGCTGGGTTTGTCCAGGTCGGTGGCCCAGAATATATTTCCACAATTGGCACAGCCACATCCAGCGCACCTCTTGCAAGTGCTGTGGCTACTGCTGTAGTCGACTAATCGACTCGGATAATATTCAGTTGATAAAATTAAGCCCCGAGCAGAAGCATTTTTCCTTCATTTGACAAAATATTTGGTTTGCGTAACAAACAGACCGTTTCCTTTTTGCACAAAGTTTTTGGGAAATGAACATGTGGTGCTTCTGTGCGGAACAGCGGTCCGACTTGACACACGCTTCCTCACACGCAACACGACTTTTCCCTAAGCCCACCGCTTGCTGGAGCTAACGCGTCACGTGCCAGTAGCGTCGCGAGCGATCCGGTCAATGTGTGCAGGTTTCCGATTGCCCGAGCCAAACAGGTGCCCAGCAGCGCCCTAGAGTACGAAGGGATTTCCCACCGCTCGCTATACCGTGCGGAAGCGACCTTTTTTGTTCCGTGGTTCAGTGGCTCCTGCAGTTGTCACGGAGTGCGGTGCCTCTCAGGATTCCCACAATTATAAGATGCACCACGGCTATCTTTTAGTTTCCCCCCCCACCCAACTCTGTAGCAGCAGCAGCAGCAACAGAGGCAGCAAAAAGCAAAAGACACAGCTACAGCAGAGTAGACATTGGGTTGGGAGTCAGGGAGTGTGAGGAATTTGTTGTTTCCAACAAGCAGCCAATCTCAAAGTTTGCCAACGTCATCGACATCAGCCATGATCTATTCACTGCCGGATGAAGGCCTTCCCAAGCCGTCGCCATCTCTCCCAGCGTGGTTGCTGCAAATGAATCCTGAAGTTTTTCTTATTCCTGCGTCGAGCAAGGCAGCTTTCAGGATGTTAAATAGGACTCGGAAAGGAGAAGGAACAAAAACCCTATTTACGTGTTTCGAATCAGCCAGTGCCTGAATGCGAATAGAGTCGACGCTTTTCCTAATTTTGGCTGGCTATCGAGTTTAAAAAAAAATCACGGAAATTGTCTCTCCTTGAAGAACCGCCAGCGAGCTGCAAAACAAATCAAAGAGGCCGCAAATGACGGGGCAGACTGCATCAGTGGCTGCATCTTTAACAAAATTGGCTTTTCAAAGAGTGGCTGAATTTAAGAGCGCAGTCTTTGCCTCCAAATCGGTCCAACAGCGTTTTTCAAGATCGCGGTGTTGCTTTCGCCAGTGTGGTGATCATTGTGCTACCCTGATGTCACAAGAATTGAAAGTCAAGTCAAAAGGAGCCGGGGGGGGGGCAGGAGGGGCGAGGAGCTCTCTTTTCCCTTAGATTCGTTCATAACCGCAACCAATGACTACCCTCAACCGTTATCCACCGCAGAATGACGGCGGCCTCCCATTACAACACCGCTGTGATGAATCCGCAACATTTTTTTGGAAAGAAAATGCTCAAATCAAAGCCCACCCGTCGTGCAAGTCTGATTACGAAACGTTTGACTTTGTAAGCATGTTGGAACAACTCAACGAACATTCACATCTTCACTATTTGGCCGACATCGTTAGAAAGCCCTAGACGATAGATATAACCAATATATAGTGCATGTGCAGAGATACACGTTTAGTTGTAATACTCATAATGGAAATGCATTTTAAATATCCAAAAAAGCTTCGTTGAGTCTCAAGATACTTCTCAGGAATATCTTGCATTTGGAGGGCTGGGAAATTAATTTCGTGAGCGTTTGGCTTCATGAGGGAGGAAACAGGACAGCTTGAGAAAAAAAAATCCCCCACAAACAAGAAGAGGTTTTACTCTCCTGCCAACTGCCATCTTCAGCCCACCTCGCAGCCAATTTCAACTGCAGCCAAATTGAACCACAGTTATATGACATTTGCTGACATATCCCAAAAAAAACCTGCCAAATCCTTGAAAAATAATTTTGCTTCAGAGAATGTACGTGTTGCGTCAATGGCCCGTACGTGCAAAATGATCACGGGGAAAACAAAAGGACATCCGATTATTTTAGTACATGACGGTGCCACGGTGTGGGGCTTTTTTGTGCGTTCGTCCAGTCCGGAGGGAGCAGAAAGGTCGCCAAAAAAATCTAAAAGCTCCGGGTGAACAGGCCGGGACGCTCAGGTGGCATTGTGACAGTGCCCGTTCACTCCCAAAAACCTGACTGGGTTCTCAGCAATCGATGCTTTCTGACCTTCGCAATTCAGATCCACACCGCAGATACCAAAAAAATATATATTTATAAACCTCCGCCTCAACAAGCCAAGGCCATGAGTGGCAATATTGACAGCTCGCTCACCGAACTCAATTAAGTTCACAGGAATCGATGCTTTCTGACCCCTTCATTCGAATCCAACAGAAAAGCCAACTCGGCGACACTTTTAACATTATTTATACGAAGTGCAGTATCAAGCAGTTCACAATCGACCAACGAACCATTGCTCTCAATAAAAATAGACCATGCACACAAAACGGATATTGCTGTTGATAAGTTGGGCGTGCCATTAAAAGCATTAATATTACGTTATCTTTCCACCAATCGTGAATTCCATTCACATATTATACGATGCTAAAAGGTTGTGTTAGGGTACATCTCCGCCGATCAGGTGTGTGTCACGTGAGTCACACAAAATGCACAGACTTGAACAGAGCAAATACCCGTATAGTGAAACATTCTCAAAAGGAACATTCTGTTAAATGTAATAAAGAGGTCAAAGGATTCCCGCCCGCCCGCTAGAAACTCAATGAAATTGTGATTCGAGGTCGCGACGATTCAACTCAAGAATAATTTCTAACACTGCGCCGAATGGTAGCGCCTCCAGTGGATCGCACGTGGGTCACGTCAACCGATTGCACCCAACATCTACAAATTGAAAAAAAAAACGTCGACTCCTAGTTTGCTAAAGACCGTGCATACAAAACGGACATCGCTGTTGATAAGTTGGGAGTGCCATTAAAATAATTAATATTACGTTATCTTTCCACTATCAATCGACGGATCGATGCACCGTTGCCCCTCTGCTATTGATGCCATCGACCACCACCCGGAAAACGTCTCCTTCGGCACACGTTCACGATGCGTCAAATTGCACGGTCCGATGCTTTCCTCAGCACAAAGAGCACTCCGTCAGAGCCGTCGTGTTAGAGGACAAGAGACAGAGAACGACACGGCCGACGTACGTCCGGTGGAAACGAATCCTCGCTGGGAGGCCTTTGGGCATCACACCAGAAGTCTCCGTTCCAAAAGCTCTGCAAGCCTGGCAACCACCGTGCCCGAACTCTAGACAGGAAGGGGAGAGAGGAGCCACCTGCCTGCCTGCCTGCATGCTATGCCTCTCCACTGGCACGCGTTCTCTCAGATCCGCTCGTCGTACGGTAGCGAAGCGGAGAAACGTTGACATCGGGTCGGGTCAGCGCTGCAGGCGACTCAATGTCTCTGCCGTAGAATTCCGTAACAAAGTTTGAGCGCCGTGAACTGATTTGCATTTGTAAAGGGGTTCAGATCACAGGTCCAGCTAAGCACAAAAAAGTTATTTTTAAAAAGTCGTCTCTCATATCGAGCACAATTACTCAGAGCTGTCAGCCGCCGTTTAAGAGTTCAATTATTCATATAAACAGAAGATTTATTTTTACCTTTCATGTTTTTCTTTTCCAAAACTGTCCCCTGCCCCCCTCCTCTATATACGCAGGGCCGTCAAGAGTAAGGGTAAGTCAATTTGTGCATAATTCAATTCAATTTGCACTCAAAATGTAAAATTGTAGCATGCAAAATCTATTACAATTATGGGTGACGTGCATTCGATTGTCTTTTTGTCCGGAGGCCTGCTTTTTGTTGATAATATGGTAAACTTTTAATTGATAACCCAATTTTCTTCTTTTTCTTGTATCATAGGGACAAAAGGGTGAGCCAGGAGAAGTGCCTGAAGTAGGTCCACGTGATTTTTATTCTATGCTGTGTGCATGTTTCAATAAACACATTAATCATCCTTTGGTGAAAATATGTCCTACAATAACTGTCTATCTCATTCACAACTAGCTCTGACATTAATTGCAGTATAATTTAGCACGTCTGTTATTTGTTGAATATGGTTTAAAGGCAATAACAACAATACTATTATTGTGTGATTTCCTTCTGATATTTTTTTAGACACAAGGTCTCAGAGGACCCTCGGGACCACAGGTGAGATTTTTTTGTTCGCTACATTTTGAGAATGATATTGTAATTATAAGTAATCTTAGATATCTGATCAGTAAACAGAACTCACAAAGCACACGTGGTGTGTTTTCACTGGTCCAGCACGATTAATATCCTGGGCTTGAATCTGGGCAGCGAACAGAGACTAAACAAAGTTCTAAAAACGCAGCAAGCTAATAGTTTCAGAATTCATACGAATAATGCCATAAAATAAATGTATTTGATCTTGCATTTTGGTCATTTTAACCTCAGAATAATTATTTGGTAGGAAGTGTGTATTTTAAAGGTAGTGGGATAACTCTTGAAGGATGTCAGGTAAAGGTTTGTGATGTCAAGTCCGGGTCATACCTCATAATTCATCATGAAATATGATGTTGGGAAATGACCCACAATTAAGTATCATGGCTCTGTGATATAGACCTAGAGATATGAAAATGAACCGCTCTATATGGATATATATACTGCCAGCAAAATTGTATTATAAATACATGAAAATGGCAAACTAAATTGTAATGGAACTTTAAATCATTGTCAATTCAAGTACAGTACAGGGAAATACAGTTAATATATGTAACGGTTAATTATTTGAATCAAATACACGTGCCCGTACAGTACATTTGTGCTAGATTATCACAACCCATACAATACAGGAATAAATACGTAAAAAAAGCTGAACGCCGTAAATGTTTATATCCTCAATGGCTTCTGGGATGCCGCTGCCTGTCACTTCAAAACAGGGCCCACCTGGTGAGCAGGGACTGAGAGGAAACCGAGGAGACAAGGGAGAAAAGGTGAGGAAGAGAACTCCTGTGGACATCCTCAACCCCCACCTACCCCCCATACCCCTCGGTGCGCGGGCGCGGGCGCCGCGGACGGTGCCACACGCGGCGAGGCAAAACAAAGCGGTTGGGAGAGAGCGTGGTGGCAAAAGTGATGGGGGCCCAGTGGCCCATGTCACAAGAAAAAAACTTGTGAAAGTGGTTTATTTTTTGATGGAAGCGGGTGCCTGAGTTTTTTTTTTTTTGGTGGGCCTTGTCGGAGCCTGAGGCAATTTCCATCGAAACCTAGCGATTAATTTTCTCACCAAATATTTTCCTGGGCTGGCGGTAGACTCGAGTGGGTGGCACGTGATTAGTAGTAGCCGAGGTATACTGGATGCGTGGCGTGTTGGCTGTGGACAAATATTTTTTTTCCCGGCTTACTGGCGTGTGCAGACCCATGTTAAATTAAGCCCCGAGTACAAGATGGAAATTGAAAACCGTGTGACTGAAGACCTCAGACATATTAGCATGTGACATTCTCTTGACCACAAGTATAGAACTACAAACACATGCAAGAGTACGGATTTGCGTTTATCTCGGAGGTTGCAATCAGGCCTCGGCATCTTAAATCACCTTATATCACATCTCGTCTCAATCTCTCTCATGCCCTGCTGCAGTCTAGCCAAGGGGACCCCCCAGTGGCAGCTGTCCCTGTGTTGTCGGGCTAACGTGCGCCTTTTGCTTGGTCCTGTAGGGAACTCTGGGGCCTCGCGGCAGGGATGGCGAACCCGGAACACCCGGAAACCCTGGAGCAGCAGGCCCGCCCGGTCCCCCAGGACCACCCGGACTTGGAGGGGTAAGTTTCTTAATATTTATTTCTTCAACACTTGGAGAGGCTGCTCGGCTTCACGATGACACCAACAATGCCCTTTTTCCCAGGAAAGCCTCAGAGAGTCCCTGAGTCTTTCTCTGTCGTCGAGTTCAAAAATTAACAGTATATAGATGAACATTTAGTGATGATCATATTATTGCAATATTTCCTTTTGTTCATCCGGAGGAGCCTCACGAAGTCAACAACTCTTTTCACGTGGATACCGTCACATTGTGATGTTTGGCCAATTTCCATTAGCGAGTGTTTGGCTTCATGTGGGGGGAAACCGGAGCACCTGGAGTACACCCCAACACGTGTGCACACGAGGGGGTGACACTAAACTAAACAATGTTTTATTATTTTACCAGGTAAGGCCCACTGAGCTGTATAGCTCTTTTCTCAGAAGCGAACTGGCCCGCAAATGATAGCTCAATGAAGTGGCTCACCACGTGGAAACTTATAGCGGCCAAATATTATAAACGCGTGTCGATTCTAATTGTAGTGGGGAAAAACTGGTAGGAGCTGGGGAAAAATCCGGTGCGACCAGACGGAGAGAGACATGGAAACTCCAAGTGTACAGGCGTCAGGACCAGGATCGAACCCACGTACCTCCCGTGTACCAGGGGGAGGCGGATAAACATCTCGCCACTCAACCACTGCCATCTGGCAGCCCAAGCCTAAAACACCTCGCATCCCCAGGCAGCGCTACCACCCTAAGTACGAACCGGGTTTAAATCTGCTCAGCTTCTGAGATCAAATCGATTGAATACAACGACAACAAACAACAACAAAATCCCTATGGAAGATTTAATTTCTAAGTCCTTTCTGAGCCACTTGGATTGCCACCTCGTGCCTGATTGACCTTTGAGATGTGCAGGGCAGTTTGGAGGAGCCAGAAATCGGTGGGTGCGATGGTAGTTGGTGGGCGCTGTGTGAAATTAGGGTTAAATGAGGAGTCTGCGGCCTTGCAAAAAAAGTTGTGGAATGTGTTTAATGTGGCCCTCTGGAGGTGTTTGGATGAATATGCTCTGAACTTAGATTTTTTTCCCTTTCAAAGTCACATGTGTTCTACGGCCGCTCCTTGTGAATGGCCGAGGGCCTCTTCAGGTTTATGTCAGCCCGGATTATCCCCTTAGTATATAGCAAGTGCTGAAAAGTAAAGGCAGGTAGTCGGGTCAAGAGCTCGTATCCAGCCACCGATAGTAAAACAACGGACAACAGACTTACCGCCACTGTACAATGGTCCTCTTTTCTTCGTGGACCAGTAGTTTCACGCATTTCGCGGTGTCGTGTGTTGTAATTAGCGGCACACCATGACCCAGGCGATATCTGATTAAAACTCACTATGTTTATTTATTACACATTCAAGAGTGCCGTTTGTTGCTGGTCGCTTGGTAATGTTGGGCCTTTTGGCCTCTGCTCACCAAACTGTGATAACAAAAGTAAGTTGATCTGATTTGTAAACTGAAGGAACTGCTGGAGAAGTGACGCTCTGCGATGCGCCATGGATATTCATTCTCTGTCCCCCCTCTGCCTTGTTCCCCTCCAGAACTTTGCCGCTCAGATGGCAGGTGGCTTTGATGAGAAGTCTGGTGGCGCTCAGCTCGGTGCTCTGCAAGGCCCCATGGTGAGAAGCCTGTTCTCCTGACCTGTGTAGATGCTGCTTCAGCACAGCCGGTCACGCTTAAACGATGACTCAGCAGGCCTTAGTGCAAATCCACGGCCGGAGGAAGGTCCCTCCATGCCGTCTCGTTTGTAGGGGGTTCTTTGACCATACTTTACCACGCTGTTCAGTGCGGCTTGGTGAGAGGAGGGAAGGGGCGGAACTCGTTGGAAGTTATTATGTCTCACGGAAATGTTGTTGTGCCGACATTGCATTCTCCTCGTTGAATGTACTCAAAGCAAATTCACGCCGCACACTTCAAGCGTGAAATCGCGCGAATCATTAGTTTACGATTGGCGATAATTATGAACCGTTGCCCTAAGGCCACTGCAACTAATGACACGCGAGAAACGATATGAGATGAAAAAAATTATGAAATCTTGAAACAAAATCGTAACCCCTAACTTGAGGGGGAGAGGTGGGAGAGTGAACTGTAACATACATAAAAACACTACAAGTTGATATTTTACTGGAGTGTTTCAGCGCATATTGTACTGTAAACTTGATCTGTATAAACGACTTTTCCTCCAGACAAGTCAAGTTCGGGTGGACCTTATTTGACCTTCACATTTACCACCCGCATAACTGCCTCAGCATGATTGGGGCCCCCCGGGCCACTGTATAGGTTTTGCCCAGCGCAGCACCCGTGAGCCCGTAGACCTCTTCACGTGCACACATTTTTCTCCCGCACACCCGGCTCCTGCACCTTCACCTGCGCGGCTCACGCCCTGCGAACGCGGCGGGCGAGGTGCTCGCCGCGTTGACGCCGACGAGCGAAACGGGAGAGAAGTGGCAGCAGGTTCTCGCATTTGTCGCGACACTTCCGACCGCAGGCAGCGCCACCTCGAGCGATGGCTCGAGGTCGCGAGGTCCCGCTGGGCTCTCGCGAGCGCTGCGAGTGTAAAGAACGTTCTCGCGATCGCCGCTTTTGTGATGGCCAAAGAGGGCCCACTTGGGCGATCGCAACGCAACGGGATCGGCTTGATAGGGCGCCGTTCGCACGTTTCATGAAATTGCTCTGCTCACACAAGAATTACTTAATTTGATATTCATCAACATCTACAGCTTCGGTCAGCTCATTAGCGATGATGATGATGATGGCTGAACTAATTTCCACCGTGGTTCTCTTCCTATAGCCGGGTTTATTGCTTCGTTGATTCTCAACTATTTATCTTCTACACCTTTACCCTTTGACCTATGATTACTGTTGTTACATTGTATTTTATAGCTTTATTTTGGTGATTTCTAAAACATATGGTTAAGCCATGTTTCTTGCGGAAGTGCGGAGTTGGCCTGATAACTTGAATCTAAATTGTCTTATGGTTGTTATTGTTTGTCTTGCATCACACTGGGATTTTTTTACACAGCATTGTAATACGGTGTTTTTTTCTGGAAGATTTGCTGGTTTATCCCAGGATGTTTCTGTTGCGCGTCGTCACTTTATGATGTTCTCTGTTCATATTTTGTTTGTTGCGGTTGCACATGACTCAAGAGCCGCATGGCTCACAGGGCTCTACCTAATAAATGAAACTTGAAACTTGACCACTGTATCTGTCCACCTGAATGTATATCTTCCCCCATAATATTTAATATATTACATATTTTAACAAACCTTACATTTTTTCTCCCCATCACGTGCACGCGCATACACACAGAGACACATACATTACCTTTGCCATCTCTTTATATTTTTCTAACAGGGACCTATGGGACCAAGAGGACCTCCCGGACCATCCGGATCCCCTGTAAGTCAAACCTTGCATATTTTACTTTTCTAACGTTTTGATCTCGAGCCAACGATCGCAGAATGTGCACTCTTTGTTTTGTTGCCAATGGAACGGATCGGGACGTATCTGCCCAGCGGGATGACACGCACGTTTTTCATCGTCGCTCTGTAGGGCCCTCAAGGATTCCAAGGATCTCCTGGCGAACCCGGAGAGACTGGCACCGCTGTAAGTATCTCCAACAAATGGCCCCGCGAGGTCGACTCTCTCTTGTTGGCCTCAAGTGGTCCAAAGACAGAAAGCGGTGACTTTTAAAGAAAAAAAGGAAGGCAGACGTCGTTTGTGCTGCTGTCAACACGCGGGTTCATCTTGAGCCAAACTGAGGAGGGCCCCGCGTGGAGATGTCTTGGCAATCACACCAACGTCTCGAACTGTTACGCCCTCACGTCGGTTCTCTGCTGTCGCCCCCTCGGTGTGGAACTCTCTATCCCTTTGCACATCCGCAACATCAAATGCATTGCAACTTATAAGAAGCATTAAAAGGCCACTATCTGTTTGGTCAGGACTTTCGAGCAGCCCTCATCTTGGCTCCACGCCTCTGAGTTGTTGACCTGTCTGCAAAATCTGGCGCGATATAAATGTCATCATTATTATTACTATTATTCATAACCTATTGGGCATTCTCCTGCGCCTATTTTAAATTACAAAAAATAAAATATCCACATCTGAATGAGGCCTCCCGTATCAATGTCCGTCATGGCGGTGGGGATGTGGGGCAGGGTGTTTGACCTTTACTTAAGTTCACTGGTCAGGGTCGAGCCCAGGACCGTTTCAGGTTTCATTTGCCACTGGTGTTAGAAAAGGCCAGGAATCGAAATCGAGTCACTGGGTTAAGTAGCGTGGTGCGATAATAACTGCCCAACATTGCTTCACCCAGTCTGTAAATAAAATAAAAACACCGCAACACATTCACCAATAACATTGTTGCCTTACATGGACATATATCGATAACATAGGCAACATTCTGGGCAATGGCTCGTCTTCAAAGCAAATGCCCAAAATGTCACCGATTATATATGTTGTATACATTATATATTGAGTGTCGTTGAAAATGAGCTGAGTTTTTGTTTGTTGTGCTTGTGCACCAAGGCCAACACAGCATCGTCACCACGTAATCTGTACATTACACTTCTTCAAAAATAGCCAAACACAGCGAGTCGATATTTTTGGAGCAAAGCTTCGGTGTAACAAACCACTGACCTTAATCAAAGACGCAGTTACTTCCAGCAACATCGGTGCAGGTTCGTTATAACACTTAAATTGAGTAAAGCCAGTGTCAATATTTAATAATTGGCTATTCATTTGTATTCAATGCTGTAAAGGTCACTAAAAGACCAATGCAATTTTTCAGTTCTATTTAAACTGTGGTCTACCCTTTGCTCTGCCTTTTTGTTCTCCTGACAAATATGACCTTGAAGATTTAGCATCCGATGCTGGCAGGGTAAAGGAACAACCCTGCAATTGCTTTCTCATGCCACTGCTAGCAGAGAAGGGCCTCGATCGGAGAGAGCTATAGACGGTCCCTTCCCGAGGGTGATTTGGCCTACCTCCTCCACGCTGGCTAGATGCCTCGGCAGAGGTGGGAGAAACCCACGCTTTACGCCGCCACACGTGACCTGCCGATCGGCAAGCTGCATCCGTATTGCTGCAGTCACAAGCTCAAGGGAGTTCACCGTTGTGCACTAATTATTTTTCAATGAAATAAATGCTCCACAATGTTGGATTTCCCTTCATTATTTCACGAGACTGGTTTGCTTTTTTGTTATAATTGGAGCATGACTTCGGGTGAATGCCACAGAGTCCCTCTATGGCTGTACAACTAAGGAAAGGGATGGAATAAAACAAGAGATGCCTTTGTATAGCAAGTAGGCAGCCACAGGCTGACAACAACAATACATCATACCTAGCTTACAAAAAATATCGTTTAATTTTATATGTATAGAGCACCTTAGCTCAAGGCGCCGTACATAGTTTAAAAAGCAGTAACAAAAGAGTGATCTAGATGACAGTGACAGTGCAAGGGCCGAGGAATGAAGGACAGAAACAGAGGGTACGTGGAGGTCAAGAAAGGGCTACAGGGGAGGGGCGGACAGAGTGGAGGGGCGAGGGGAGGGAAGAGGAAGGGAATGGTGAATGGAGAAGAGGTGAGCTTTACATTTGTTGTGTTTTGTTCTTATTTATAGGGCCCTCTGGGACCAAGGGGTCCACCTGGCCCAGCTGGGAAACCTGGTGACGATGTGAGTATGTATATATATTTAAAGAGACATGTACTGTATATACATTTGCGAGTATTTTGGCAGTTTGTGTACATTTCTTTTTTACAATGACATGTTGTCGTGGCGGGGTGTGATGTCTCCTGCTAATGCCACGTGCCTGCCGCTGCTCCCTTACAGGGCGATGCTGGAAAACCTGGAAAATCTGGCGAGCGTGGCCCCGCAGGCCCACAGGTGAGAGAGATCACCTCTGCAGCTAAACACGGCCACTCGGGTCGCCACCTATCCTGGATTTCCCGGGAGCCTCTTCACTGTGAGGCGGCTACGTTAAATGTCCTCGTTTTTGTCAGATGCGTAAAGACAAGTACGTTTAGGACGTTTTCGCCTAGTTCTCCTCCCGTTTCGGTATTGCGGGATATTTTTCTCTCCGTGGCGTCTGTGTGTATGTTGAACTTCTTTCGCACCGGACGTAGCAGGCCGTGCTAATCACAGGTGCGGGGGAAGGACAACAATTAAACACAAAAAGCAGTTCTCAAGAAATTCGTTTTCAATCTAGATTTAAAAGTGCATAGCTCCAGTGATTTGCTAAAACTTCGGGATATGATCCGATTTTCTTATTCCACTGCGGAGGTGGTAACCCCAGCGGCCACACCTCATCGCCCATTATCATCATCATCATCACCTCGTCGAAAAGTGCTTCGTGTTTTTCATTTGGCTACACTCGTTCTGAATCGCGTTCTTCCCTGCTCCATTGTTTAGTTAACTGACCGTGTCATTGTCTCTGTCTCTTGCTCTCACTCTCTGTCTCTCTCGCTTACCCAGGGTGCAAGAGGTTTCCCCGGGACGCCCGGTCTTCCAGGTGTCAAGGGTCACCGAGTAAGTTAGGACACCGACGTGGATTGACATATCACACACAATGTGCACGTGCATAGCCTGCAAAATATGAAAGGGTTCCAATAAATGGCACGTTCAGGTCTAGCCATGGAGTCTGTGGAGGTGTTTAGAAAGCTGAAAAGGCTGACAGTTATTCGAGTTCACATTGTCCCAGTTCGTGCCATTATCTCAGCAAATTTAGAAATGCATCCAAAACTGTTACGTACAGATGTAATAAGTGTGTCAAGTGAAATGTTCCGCATGAACGTCAATAATACCCACACATATGTGTATGCAGCTTACAGTTAAATGGTTTGCACGATTAAAAGAAAACATTAATTAAATGTGTGCAATCCACTGACAGTCAATGAACGCCAATTAATTTATAACTGTGAAAACTGATATTGGCTTGCTCTTTAATTCGACATTCAACTGTGATTTTAGTTGAGGCGAATAACAGGTGAAATTAATCTTATCTTACCTAGATAAGTCACATGGTAATAATATCCAATACATTCTGCAAAATTGCACTCATTAACTAATTCGTTAGGAAGTGGCTTCATTACCTTAATGGTGCGATGCATTTCAATACATGGTGTGAATTTCTTCGTGTGTTTCAGCGCGCTCCTGGTATAGCCTTGCTGTGTAATAAATGCTGCGAATGCCACACGTACGAATCTTCCTCTATTTCCGTGCGGCATCATGCACAGACAAGCAACCGGTCGTTTTGGCACATCAACAAACGTGCGAAAATCTACGCCTAGGTTGTCCTCTAGCCATTCAGCAGCGTTTGGTTTTGCGAGTCGATTCACCGCTTTGGTGCCGCCGTTCAACTTGCCTTGATTGGCACTGACTAATGACGGCGACGCTGATGATTCTCCTGCTTATCGTTGCAGGGTTACCCTGGGTTGAACGGAGCCAGGGGTGAGGACGGAGCTGCTGGTGCCAAGGTGTGCCCTTGCAAACGAGTCGCATTCAAGGACGACACTTACGATAACAATGGCGATTTTATGTATATATATATTTTTTTAAAAGATCGATGCCGCTCGCACGTGTTTAACAGTCGCACGATTGTTGAAAGCAGTCCGAGCGCCGAGCTGATCTGAGCGACTGTTGCAGGGCGAGAATGGAGCTGCGGGAGAGAATGGAGCACCTGGGCCCATGGTGGGTATTCAATGTTCCCCTCTGTCTCTCTCTCTCTCCTCGTCATTCTCACTAGTAACCGAGTATTCCCGACCTCTGTGCTGGACACTGCTGCACTCCTTGCAATGTTCGCCATCGCTGCTATAGCGATGGCTTCATATGGTCCTCCCGGTCACGTTTAAAAAAGAAAAAAAGTCCGATATATTCTCGAGACCACATCTGTTTCATTTTCCTACCACTTCACCAAACATCATACGCTTTGTCCAGGTTGTTCCGATCACAGTCAGCTGTGTCAATATACGTTCGTTACTATCGGTTATTTACACTTTATACAAATCACATGCACGTGTTATGCCAAGGTTACATTTCGGCGAACGGGGATGAACAAAATTGCGTAAACGAGACGCAGTAAATCGAGAAACGGCAGAGAATACGTTGTCGAATAAAATCACGAGACACACAATCGAGAAGAATTGTCGAATCATTTGGGGAGGGGGGGGGGGGGTGTGGGGAGACACAAGATGCTCCATGCTGAACTGAAATGCTTCGTAAACTCACATTGTATTGTAAAAAACTGTTTCATAACGAATCGCGAGTTCGAATGTTGAATCTATTCCAAATGCATTCAAGACAACAATAGATGGCAGTGGCACCGTTTTCCCACGTGTTGGAGCCAATGGCTCAATATATTCGTGAAGCACGGATGGCCAACGGAAGGAGAGGGGATGGGTGTGCGAGGCTTATAATATGTATGTGCGCTGAATTTCTCTCGCACCATACGCAGCTAACCGTGCTAATTGTAGGTGAAATATATTTATTTCATGTGCAGGTAAGTATAGTTAGTGGGGGGAGGGGGGGGGCGGTACATGAGTGGGGTCCGGCCCCACAAGCCCCTAGAGACAGGCCACCACTAGTTGAAGCGTTGTTGTTACGGCTTCACCTTTAAAGGTCACGGACACTCACCCACGTTCTACTGTGCGTCTCCTCTTGCAGGGTCCTCGTGGTCTGCCCGGCGAGAGGGGTCGAACAGGACCTGCTGGACCAGCCGTGAGTTGAGCCCAACTGCTCAAGCGTGCCACCGATCGTCATCTCACGAGCAGTGGTTGTCCTCATTGCAGAACTTCTGTCACTTTGTTCGGATAACCTCTGTGCATAGCCATACGAATAGGGATTTGCATGCATAGGGAGCTCAAGTGCCTTCGCGACTTAAAGCAGCTGAGATTCCATCTAAGCCACAGTCATTGCGAAATTATTATACTGGAGGTGGTACGCTGGGTGCGGAAATATTTTCCGGCTCGCTGGCACGGACGGAGCCAGATGAAAGTGGTGATCAAAACCTGAGAATTCTTCCCGAGAACCGCATCGGTAAAGAGTCCTTGGAGACGCGAAATACAATCATATCCGTTTCACGACAGTCTGTAGACCGCATGTACAGAACTGCAGTCACACGAACACATGTTGCACTTAAATACCATGTAAAACTCAGCTCAAGCCAGCCCAATGCCCTGCTGCAGTCCAGACAAGGGAACCCCGAGTGGCAACTGTCGCTACGCGGCACAAGCTGTACGGTGTGGCACCGGCCCGCAAGACGAATGGGCACAGTCGCCACTGCAGTCAAGTCGCGTTCGACGCCACCTCCGTTAGCACCCTAGCCACTACGGCAGCACCATCGGCGCGCGTGCGTTCGTTCTCTCAACAAATCGTCAGCCGTTTTCTGTCGCGCTTGCTCGACGAAGGCAGGCCTCCCCGATGCTGTCCCCCGTCGCTCATGGTCCTTTGACAAATGCGACCGGCATTGATGGGCCGCAGTGAGCTGGGCGCGCTGGCTTTGTGGTTGCTCGTTGCCTTGTGTTGACCCGCTACTTGTTTCAGGGTGCTCGTGGATCTGATGGCCAAGCCGGAGCTGCTGGCCCCCCTGTGAGTATGACATTCTCGAAAGAAAAAAAACGTCCCGCACAATCGCGCGAAACAACTTCTGCTCTTGGCGGGTTCGCGGAGACGCATTTATCACACATGCCGTGACCATGGAGATGCATCGTCACCGTCAGCCTGAAACAATAAACTTGCGTTGTGCTGCATTGGGAGTGGTGCATCAGTGAAAATAACCAAAACTCAGCACACGTCCGTAAATAATAACACTTCCCTAGTATTCCAGAGAGAAGGCCCATTTCCTGAAACGTCGGCCAGTATATTTTGTTTCCTCTTATAGGGCATAATTTATTGATGAACGCGTTGACATTTCGTCAGCTTCACAGATCGAGAAACGTACACCATGCGCCGATGTCGCAGTAAGCTTTGTTTCAATGGAAAGTGATGTGTGTGTCCTTTGCTGCGCATCCCGCTACATCGATCCTACATTTCTGCTTGCTGTCTGCAGGGCCCAACTGGACCCGCTGGATCTCCTGGCTTCCCAGGTGCTCCTGGAACCAAGGTGAGCCATCCGAGCTCCGAAGGCCCACTCCTTGTGGGACCAGATGAGCACCCTGCACTTGTCACATTAATGCAGCTGACTCTTGATTATCCGTGGGTGGATTTTTCCTGATTGCGGATATCACTCACGCTCGTGGGGGGGCATTATCATTACGGGTGTCCTCTTTTAATTACTGGCTGCTCTTAACTCGTCGCGGGTCAGTGACTCAGTGTACACGTTACTTACGGAAGACGTAAAAAAGTGATCAAATATTTCTACTTTCCCCTCCTCCCCCCACCATTGAACAGAGGGAAACAATACAGACTTACATTGAGAAGTGACACTTACATGTTTTGCATTATCTTAATTTTTATATAATCTGGGATAGCCCTACCTCCCATTGCCTTGAGTAGCGAGGGTTTACTGGAGTGGAATTTTCAGTATCGGAGCAGCGTTTAGGCTGTCACCTGGGTGCAGGTGACCCAACTGTGACGGTTTCTCGTGCCAATGTGACCTGTCTAATTTCAGGTCAATTGGCTTTCAGGGAAATTGTGATTCCTCTTAATAGTGGAATTGTCTGCATTTACAAACTGGGAAGCAATCTACAATGACTACCATCGCATCGTCTTCTAGAATGTTCTGCTTAAATGCAGGTTCTTGATTCAAGGGTCCGTCCAGTCTGTACGATCTTGTGCTAACCTCTTCGTTTCTTCAACCTTTTACTTCTTGGCCTTTCCCCCCCAATATATTTTCCCCGAGAGCCTCGTCCAGGAGGCCCATTCCCCTCTGATGCTTTGGCCAATCCAGAGGAAGCCACATTCCTCTAATCAGCAGTACGGTGATGAACTACAGCGTCGTTATCTCGACTGCCAGATAGAATTAGGATATTTATAATATGTACGTGTGTGTGTTAAAGTGATTTATTAATATATTAAAAATGATTCATTGTGCTTGATAATAACCTGACCCCTTAAAGCACCATAACCCAGAAGTCAGATATCTCATTATGCAAATCATGGCCTGGCAGTTCGTGATGTGGCAAGCTATGCATGAGCATTCCAATGCACATTTGTTTGATTGGCAGTTGAGTAAATGATGGTAATATAAAGCTCATGTTTAACAAAGATTTGCAGCGTGGTAGTAATTACATTTTCTCCATACATGCAGTATATGACTAAACATAATAATTATTATTATTACCATCTATACAGTTATCATTAGCCATGGTTAATTCAATGGTAGATTAATGTCTGTTCTAGCAGTTAGCGATCATGCGATGCAGTAATGTATACAGTATGAGCAAAATATAACAGTTGATAGTCTGCTATGGTATATGTATTAATATGTTATGTAAATTTGTACTAATTTGAGAAGTATTCAGAGTAAAGCGATGGTCATTAGTACTGGACTGCAATTTCAGTATAAAACTTTAGATTTTTGCAAAGCGAATGACCAATTAACACACGTATATATGCTATTGAAATAGAATGTAATATATTAAATTATAAATTATCGTGAACCATGGGAAATCGACCGCTGGATGAAGGCCTCACCAAGCCATTAATCATCTTCTTCAGATGCTGAGATTTCATCCGCTGAATTAATCTATGGAAAATTAATGCCTATGACGACAGGAAGTGCATGCTAAGGCTCTTAAGTAGCGCACCAAAGTCAAGCTTGTTCGGAGCAAATCAAGTAGCACGCTGTGAACCACATTTAGGCATCGCGCGTCGATCATAAACCTCAATTGAAATTAGACAACCCAAGTCTCAGGCAGTGATTCATTCGCGCGTGGACTGCTGTGTGTTGTTATTCACCCAACACATTCGTGGTGCCCCTTTGACCTGTGCGAGCTCAACTTTCGATAAACGTGCGGCTCGTTGATTCTGAGCTTGTAATGTTAAGTGGAAGTCGGGCGATGAAGGCTGTACTCTGAAAGTAAATAATAATGTATTTAATTTATTCACTCAAGTCTCAGAGTCTCAAGACTCTTTTTCAGGACAGTTCTGCATTGGGATGTTTGGCCAATTCCATTAATGGGTGCTTGTAATGTGATTGGAAACCAGAGTTCTCAGAGAATACCATTATATACGAGGGGATAACACTACACGTTACACACAGATTGATTAAATAACCCATGGCTGCACTGCCCCCTCTCAGCCCAAGACTACAACACCAGGCATTCTCAAGCAGTCTCCCATTCCAGTAACTAACCAGACTCAACCCCTGCTTAGCTCTCGAAGTTCTGATGAGATCGGGCTCAGGTTCTGGGAGATTTATATTTTAACTTCAAGTGGAACCGACTGTGTTCCAGTTGACGGTGGCCACCCCAATCCGATGAATCATAGTCAGTCTACCTATTTGTCAACATTAAAGCCCCTTCTGTAAATTATTACTATTAGGTGTCATGGAAGATGAACTACAGCTGTAGAGTTTCTGGAGTTGAAAAGTAATTCGACCTGTTCCTCTCCAATATGCTTTAGCTGGGTTTTTGCCAGGTTAGAGTGTCACTTTCAGGCCAATATGCATGTGTGTTGAACTTCTTTCGCACAGTACATCGCCAACCGTGCTAGTCGGAGGTTCGAATTAGCCACTCTCCAATGCAATGCGTGTAGGTGTAATACATCTGTCATTTGTTTAAATTAGTATTGGCCATTACGGCCAGAACGTTCTTTAAAATTCCCTGTTGGACCCATTAACAGGCAGTGTGTTACAATTATAAACTCAACTCTTTTTTTCTCCCAATAGTTTTCACTCGACATGTAATTGCCTGAGAACCCGCAATTGGTCGAATATCATCTGGTTTCTTTGTGCTTGGCACATAAACATGATTTGGCCATATATATTTGTTTAATGGCAGTTTGAAGTCACTGCAATCTATGGCAATCCATAGTTTGGTTCGTCATCATCTAATACATATATGTGACCGTGGTTGAGTGACTAATGTAAATTACGATGGTCTTTGAGGGCTGGGTTGCTGGAATATAGCTTAAATATGTCCAAGACTAAATATTACATCCCAGAGGTTAATTGGTTTTACTCACAATAAATAAATCAAATTTTGCTCTAAACACTTACAAATATACGAGGCCTGTTCCATCGGTGAGCCAAGTTACTTGCTTCACGTGAAAAGCAAAGCCAATAGACTGGTCCCAAAGTAAAAAAAAACCCAACCCATTGCTTGCCAATTTGACTCCATCCTTGTTGTCTCATGTAAACACAAGCTGTTCATTCAGGAGGACGACGTTGATATTTCCTGGATTGGCCAGGAATGTTAATCCCTGCTAATGAGAAGAACTGGATTGTGTGTGTGTGAAGAGAGAGAGACAGAGAGAGAGGATTGCTTGGAAGACAGAGATTCCCCTCACAGGGCTTGCTTGTTCAGTCCCACCCAGCCTCAAAACGGAAAAAAAAAAAATTCAAAATAAATATCTCTTTTCACGGGACATTTGAAGGAGGAAAGCCATTACTTAAATAAACCTCCAAGCGCCCTCCCTTCTTTCTCGAGCGCAGCATGGGTGCTGGTCGTGGTAGCTCGAAACTACTTTGGAATATCACCCTCGTCTAGGGATGCCACTCTAGAACAACCAGTGTGCAGTGCCTCAGATCTGCGGGCATTCACTGCTGTCTCGAGGTCTTTTGACTGGACACATTAATGTTGTCATCGCTGGCGAAATAATACTTATTGTAGTTTCAGAGATCGCTGCGTTGCCATCGTGTGAAGTGAAGACTGGCAGCTCACTCTGCTTTTGGGACGACGTTAATTGGATTGTTGGTTCACGTGGGATGGTTAGCGCGGGCCACGTCTGCCAATATTCCACCGTTAGGGGGCAGAGTGTGGAGCAAAGGCCTCGTGTGAGCAGAGCGGAAGCCTTGTGGAGAGAAAGCAGATGGGCACATGAAGGAACCTGCAGCTGGTCGCACAGGCATGCAGCCAAGCAGATAAGGAGTTTTGGGTGGAATGAGGCATGTGAATGAGTATGTGTGACCATATTTCACTTTGTGTTTAAGTGGGGAGGGGGGTGATGGTGGTGGTGGCAGTGTTGTTGTGGGGCCTCTGGCTAATCCCTTTTTTATGATGTTTTAATTTTTCCTAATTTATTCAAATTATGCTACTGGCTGCATGCTACGAGAGAAACAATCTGCTTGGGAATCTCGCAGAGCAGTGCGCCCTGTGTGTCAGATAGTGGCTGCCCAAAAGATGCTCCCAAAAAACTCCTTCCAGAAGGGTCTCTTTCACACGTTCCACACATTCTGATACAAGGCTGTCGCATGAAAGTCAACCTATATTTTGGTCGGGCTAAAATGAATCAAAAATAATTGCAAAAAATGGAATTTACTTCTTAAATATTATTTTTTGCTTTGGTGGTTATCAGTAATCAGAAATTCGATAACTTAAGAACCCACAATTCGTCGAACTCAGAATTTCAGTGGTGTTGGCTCCGCACTCTGACGTCTGACCCGACCAGCCACCTTGAAAATAATAATTTCTGAAAAGCGGATTAAAAATTCGAGGATCTCGGTGCCAACTCGGCACTCTTGGCACTCCGGCCATCTGGCAATCTGTTTATGCTGGTCATCCATCCGTGTGTGTGTTTGTGTGTGTTTAGTTTTCCCTCGTTGTACACGAACTTGCGATCCGCGATTTTGGCATCTGGAACCCTACATGACTGCGTCGAGAGAGAGAGAGAGAAAAAAAAAAACAGCGACGAGATAAAGTGATGAGAGAGAATGTGGCGAGTAAAAGTGATGAGATAAAGATATGACAGAGACGAGAGAGAGAGAACTTATCCAAGCTTTCTAGAAGCATCTGCAGGCGTCGCACGTACGACACTCATAGGCCAACACCATTAGCTGCGAAAATGCTCGATTCACGAGCACCTCCGGAACGTATCCCTCGCGGCGAACGACGAAGGGAATACCGCTCTTGTGTGTGTTCGTGTCGCACAGGGAGAGGCAGGCCCCACTGGAGCAAGAGGACCCGAAGGAGCGCAAGGTGCACGAGGAGAAGGAGGCGCCCCCGGCTCTTCCGGACCCAGTGGAGCTCCCGTGAGTCGATCCATCTGCCCGTGATCACAGTCTCCCACAGAACGTATGCATGTGCCCGTGCGTGCATGTACGTTGAGCTTCTTTCGCACCGCACGCAGCTGACTGCGCTAATCTGAGTGTGCGGTGGGGGGGGGGGACCTAAGCAGAAAAAAGCGGTTCTGAAGGAATGAGTTTTCAATCTAGATTTCCTAATATCAGAAGAGAGTGCGTTTCATAAGAGATGGAATGTCCATCTTTTTTAGGAGGGGGGGGGGACCAAAAGCACCCACCACCACTGGCTTAATGAAAATCCTTTTAAAGTTCCCAAATGTGCGTTGGATTTAGATGAAACTGCAACAAAAAAGATGGACTAAAACACGTAGCCCTGCAGCGGCCTATAATGTGTGCCCCATCCGAGCGATATCCAGGCACAAACCTTCTTTAGCTTCCCAGATCTGATGGGATCAGGTGAATTTCCAAGTGAATTGGTCAAATCGCCACTGTTAACATTCCCTTTGTGTCTTTGTCTTGAACAGGGAAATCCTGGAACTGATGGTCTCCCAGGCGCCAAAGGGTCATCTGTAAGTATCCTGCTTCGTTGATCTACGTGAAGATTCCTAACCTTTATTGCACGCATTCAAACATAATATAACACGAATAGAACCAAAGAGTATATAACAAGGTGAATTATACTGTTATGTATACTTTTGGCCTTGAGCTACTGAAAGCTACGTTCTCACTGCAATGCAAACCAACCCAGGTGAAAGACGGCTGATGACAGTTATCATGACGGTGGCAAGAAATTAGAGAAGTGCATCGGTAGCAACCGAGATGACATTTAGGCATATGTGACAACGCATCGGTTGATTGATTAAAATCAATATTTTCACTCACGAATCACGCGTCAAATCGCACAGGTCAGAATCAATCATTTACCATCTATGGCGATTTTAAGCAAATTATATGTAAAATGTTTCATTCAGACAAATGGGATCTCGACGAAACTCTAAAGGTCGAGGCAGAAGAATACAATGCAAACAATATGGCGTAAAAAATTAGACGACAAAAAAAATAACAATCATCCATTCTAGAAATCAAATCATGACCCCGGAATGATGTCAACTGGTCGATCCACTTGGGGAGGAGATTTGCTACATGCCCAAAGATAACATTCATATAATTCTAATGACATTACATTCACGAGGACAACTACAGTGTCACTTTTCGCAGTGCCAACACTGACAGTGTAGCCACGTAATTATACTAACTGTGCGTCAGGAGAGACGTGCACGAGGTTGATTCATGGACTGTGTGCGAGCCAAAAGTTCACCATCACTCCCGAGCGCTGGAGCTGGCATCTCGGTATGCGTGTACAGCGCGCACCTGCACTTACACTTGACCTCTCTCGTGTGTGTGTGCATGCGTGCGTGTGTGCAGGGTGCTCCTGGTATTGCTGGTGCTCCAGGTTTCCCAGGACCACGTGGGGCTCCAGGGCCACAGGGGGCGACTGGACCATCTGGGCCTAAAGGTCAACAGGTGGGTAGCTCCCAGGACTTACAATTTCTCACTGGACGTTTTGCAGCTCGCCGGTAGACAACAGTCGTCACGTGATTAGTAACCACAGCCAGCAGTGAGACGTATACTGAATGTGGTGTGCCACCAAGTGTGGACATATTTGCTGGTCAGTTGGTAGGCTAGAGTAGGCGTGTGATAATAGCGATAGCCACGGCGAGAGGTAAAGCGGGTGTGGTGTGCTGAATGCTGAGATAGTTTCCGGGTTGCGGGCCCAGACAGACCTGGCTAAAATTAATCCCTGGTACTTCCTTTGAAATGTAATATCTACATGGATATATTTCCATGGCTTTTGTTCTTCATCCCATGCATTTATCTTGTTTCTATTAATATGATATATCCGGTCTGGCTTATTGTGCCAAGATCGGCATCGAGTGCCACTGTATGGTGTATTGTATTCAGTGCATGTGATGTTTTTTTGGAAGTGATACTAACATTTGATGTCTCTCATTCCTAATTTCGTAGGGTGAACCAGGTGCTCATGGTTTCAAGGGTGAGGCTGGACCCAAGGGAGAGATTGTAAGTGTTGACGTCCTGCTAAACCCCACATTACCATTTAATAACATTATAATAATAAGTTATCATCTTTGTTTTATATACAGTATCAACATTACACACACCACCACAGGATGCTGCTCTATGTGGCAAGCATATAAACATGAACAGCATATCCAGGGAACATTAAAAAATTATAATAATTTATAAGCAAAGCCAAGGATGCGTGTTTGGCAAATCAAGCAGCAGCGTGATACACCACGCACAAGCAATCTCAACCATCGTTGATAATTAACTTGTGCGAGTACTTGACAATTCAGTACCTTTTGAACTTAAGTTTTGTATGGGATATTGTGGATTAGCTGATGTATCGCCTGACCTTTATTTATTTATTTAATAATTAGGATGAACAACGGCTTGATTCCTTGCAATCTCCTGAAGTCACTTGAATATGTTAACTGTAACCCTGACAATGCACTGCTATGAGCACTTAGGAACATTGTGCACGTACGTTCCTTCAAGAGGGATATTGCGGACGAAACGAATGCATCGCCACTGTTTGGAATAATAAAAAAGAAGAGTTTTTATGAGAGTGAACAATGGGATTGATTCCTCGCTGTCTCCCTCCGATGACTTGTGCAGGGACCAGCCGGTCTCCAAGGACCTCCTGGGCAGGCGGGTGAGGAAGGCAAACGGGGAGCACGTGGAGAACCCGGAGCAGCTGGTCCTAACGGTCCTCCCGGCGAGAGAGTGAGTGACACCTCCAGCACCTCCTGCAACTCCTCCTCCGGTGGCGGCGGCGGTGGCACGCGTGGCCATCTCGCGCATACCTCGACTCCCTGCTGCGCTCAGCCCGCAATTCTCTCGCGGTGTTTTAATAGCGCCAAGCAAAGCAGCCGTCTCTCTCCGCTTTGACTCAAAGTGCTCTCGTTGCCCAACGCCCGAACCGGCCAAACCAAATGTTGCCGTGCCGCTCGGCGCGCGCTTTTGTACCTCTTCCAAGCGTTGTGTTGGCGTCGGGTTCGGCTCCCCGCGCGTCCTTTTGACATTTGAGGCGACGTTTCTTGCAGGCTGACGTCCAAGAGTTGTGGGTTTTTATTTTTATTTTCTACATCGACGTTGGATTGTACGCAAATTTAAACGCAATTTACTTTTGATGTGTGATTTTCTAGGGAGCTCCTGGCAACCGTGGATTCCCAGGTCAAGATGGACTTGCTGGACCAAAGGTACGATTGTTTTCATATGTACCTACGGATGAGCGTCCGTAGATAAATTCGATAATCCGAATTGCCACAATCGGCGTCGATTCTACCATCGTCTGTTCTCGTCTCGTATTTTGGGATCTTGTTCGCTTTGTTTCCTGTTTCCTCCATGTCATTTAACTAAAATGTGTTCATTCGATTAACCAAAATGTAAAATTGGTACTTCTGCATAAAATCGGTATAAATCATAGATTCTCACGGGCATTTTTCCATCCCTGTATTGTGAGCGAAATAACTGATGTTAGTCCATGAATCGCCCCATCGTGACATACCAATGTGTTTACTCAAACATGTGGCCATTACAATTTCCATGATATCTTATACAGCTTCTACTGCATATTACCATCAGGTGCGAACATATTTGTGCCACTTGATTTGCTTTCCAATTTTAGTACAGTACTGCTGATAGTAAAGAAGTTAACATTATTTCCTGCTCAAATGAACCCTGAGCCAGTGGTGGAAATTCCACATTCCAATGGCAGGGGGTGAGTATCTCCATACGACAACCACTGTTGACTTCCCCACAAAGTGGTACTCGTTTTATCGGCCCTGGAAGGATAATGGGCCATGTGAACCCCATTCCAGGATTTGCACTTAGCAAACCTTATAATTGTGATCTGCTATAACCAGTCACCCAGCTGATTTGCGTGACAATATCCATCGCATCCTCTCTAGTTTCTACTCACCAGCCACCCAGCATGTGGTATTGCACCACTATGGCCACTTACTTGCCATATTCTCTCCCAGCAAGCGAGATACGATAAACCACGAGCGGAGGCGAGTTGTCCGCTCGGGCACCACGTTACCCCCCTCTGACCAACGTCACACCGTGGCCAACGGCTGCACACACCGCGCGAGGGCGACGCTGGTCACTGGGAGATGTGAGCGCTCGTGCGTTTGATTTCGCCGCTCTCGGATCTCTGTGTGTGCCCCTCTAAACCAGATGTGAAGCGTTAGCCGTGGTGGCACAAAGCGAAGCCCCCACCTCCTACCCCCCCCCCCCCCACCATTCCCAAGCTACACAAACAGCAGGGCGATCAAAAAAATTACGAAAATTTAACTGGGCAGGGACCACCCGCCCCCTCCTCCCCCACGCAGTCAGCCAGGGCCACCCTGCGAATAATTATCCTCCGCTGTCGTTCCATCACAAGGATGCCAATTTGAGTTGTCACTGAAGCCGTTAGCTCAGGTTTAACGAGTGTCTACGTCAGGCCGGAGTCCCCCATTGAAATGCTGCACTTGCCGATACGTTGCCCTGGTAAAGTACGGTGTTGTCCTTCCCAGGGTGCACCTGGCGAGAGAGGCCCATCGGGTCCTGCTGGGCCAAAGGGGGCCAACGGAGACCCCGGCCGACCTGGAGAGGCTGGCCTACCCGGTGCCCGCGTGAGTAGCACAGACGTTAATTTAATTTAAACACGAGCTCATTTACGTAATGTTGTGTCGTGCGTAAAGGCAAACGAAAGCAGAACTCCGTTCTATCTCCACGGATGAATGAGCTTTTTGACGGAGTATTCTTGCCAGTAATATCTGATAACCCAGCATTTGTTGCAATGTTATTGATCAGCATTTTTTTACTTGGTCGCTGGATATTAAGAGCCTGGAAAGCCAACAGGCTAAAAACAACAATACATTTATTTGAATTTAAAATGAATACATCTGAGATTTAATTATTTTACAAACTTCTCCCACGCAAGAGAAAATACTAGCGACCGCACTCGTTTTTTTTAAAGGTGCACAATTTTTGCAACGAGTTTTTAAATGTGTATTTTACATGTGTCTTGTGTGTGTGTGCAGGGTCTGACAGGCAGTCCAGGTAGCCCAGGGGCTGAAGGAAAGCTGGGCCCTCAGGTGCGCTCGCAGTGCCTCGTCCAAAATGAATCCCCGTTCACGATCACGGCACACAGCAACATGCACTGGACTACTGATCACAACAAAGACAAAGATCCCCCGTGTAGCCTTAACAGACCGTTGGGGCAAGTGTTCTTAGCGAGTAGCACTTAATGAAGGGCCGGCACGGCACGCGAGGGGGCGGGTGGCCAACACCACGCCCGGCCGCCTTTGTCTCCCCGGTGACGATGTTTACACACCGCACCGGGTGTTCATTTGAGGTTGAGTCGATCTAGGGGAGGTCCAGTGCCGGTTCAGATAATCGTCACTGGGTGTTCGCCGTGAGCGGGAATCGAACCCGGGTAGCCAGGTTCGCAGCGCAGCGTGGCGCTAACCGCCGTACCACCGCTCACCACCACACTGACAGATTTAGGCCATGACGTGCCAATCAATACCGGTGGTCAATAGAGCCACGATACCTCTGTCACCGACTCATTTCGAGCGTGAACAATGTGACCGTGTCCACGAGAGCATTCTGTTACTTTTTGGCAGTTTTTAATTGAGTTGAGATTTTCATTTAGTTATTTTCCATTGCATCGTTATTGTCCATGTACAGCCCTTTCGCCAGTCCACTGCTGAATGAGGGCCTCTCCCCATTGCCGTGTGGCTCGTGAGGGTTATTTGATCATCTTTCACCACCACTGTTGGTCAGTGCGCGTTGATGAAGGTGGGGAAGCATAGACGGGGAGCATCGACACAATAGATGTGGCTGCACTGCCCTCTGCCGTCCACATATACAAACAAAACCAAAGACAAAGTTCCGGCCCGTGTATTGGCTAACAGCACTTGCCCCCCCTCCCCTCCAACATCTGACAAAATAAACCACAACAAACTACATCTTAGGTCATGCCAAACGCATCCTCTGGTGGTGGTCACGTGACACACGGCCAATCCCATGGCAAAGTAGTGGGGGTCCAGAGAGATGGGCGAAATAGATTCAAATTACTCAAGTAATGAAATACAGACACAAACGACCAATTCACCCTGCCTCGTGTAATTTAGATAATTATCGATTACTTTGAGGTGTGTAATTTAGATGCCATGTAACGCATGTGATGAATTTATACGTGTAAGTAACGTGTAAGTTAGACGGCCGATGTCTGCATAGTAATTAGTTGATTACAGTCCACTGTATAGCACAATCGACTTTCAATTCAGAGGTTTCCGGTTCAATTTCCCCGGTGCAGCAGTTGAAAATGTGAGACGTTTATTTATTTATTTCCTGCCTCTTGTCTACCCGGCAGCATCAATGGGCGCACCGCATTTGCATGATGTGCAGAGCACACGTGCGGTGGGGTAGAATGTGGGTACCTCCCATCTCTTCCAAAACGCCTGTCTAGCGTGGAAGAGAAGCCGACAAAAAATAAATTAACAAAAATCCTCTGCACGATCGAGAGCACTCGGGGGCCCTTCTCTGGAGAGAGCAATCCAGTGAAGGCCCTTCTACCAGCAGTGGCACGACGAAGCAATTGCAGGGCTGCACCTTTAGCTGTATAAAACGAAAACATTGTATTTTTATTTTACCGGGAAAGGGTCCACTGAGCTATATAGCTCTTTTTCGGAAGCGAACCTGCTCGCAAATGATAGCCAAACGAAATAGCTTATCACGTGGAAATGTTCAGCAGCCAAATACTCTAAACGCGTGTTTGTAAATGTGGGGGGGGGGGGGGGGGAACCGGAGGATCCAGAGAAAAATCCACGCGACCACGGGGAGGACATGCAGACTCCACATATACAGGCATTGTCAGGGTCGGAATCGGACTCACATCCTCCTGTATACCGGGCGAGGTAGTTAACATCTCGCCACCTCTGCGTATGAAATTCGAATTGTTATGCTCGTGTCTTTGCGGCGGATCCATAAGTGGGATGTTGTGTTCCTCCGACAGGGTGCTCCAGGTGAGGATGGACGACCTGGGCCACCTGGCCCCCAGGGTGCTCGCGGCCAGCCCGGAGTCATGGGCTTCCCCGGACCTAAGGGCGCTGGCGTACGTACTCAAACGTCAAGCACACACCACCGCAGCGCCCGCACCGGTTCCTCATTTTGCAATCACGTGGGGTGATGGAAACGCCCGGGGGTACCCGCTCGCGTAAAGCAGTCGGATTAACTTAGCAAAGCGTTGCCTCTTTTTTTTCTTTGTCTTTCGATATACCCTTCACTTAGTTTAGTGATGAGCAACAGTTTGAATCCCACCACCTGTAAGAGCTATTAGTCGGGCTCTTCGGGGACTCAGAGGCTCCAAGAGTATAAATCGACAGAATCGTCACAATTGTGAGGCCGAGAAGATTGAAGGAGTGAAGGCTCATTAGTTGATTACAGAATCGATCATTGCACATTCCATTTCAACGTTACTGGAAAATCGCTTTTCCGAATACTGCTCTTTAATAGTGGATTCACGTCGAAGGCGCTGGAAGCCAGGTCTGAGGAGTATGGGTTTTCTCTAGATTTACAATAATGCTTAATGATTTGTCTAGATTGTACTGTAATATTCTGGCATTTTTCAGTTATCACACAAAAGTGATCTAAAAACACCCAGAATAATAGGCAGAGGGTGAATCTTTATGTCATTTGGTAAATCATTCTTAAACGTGGTCTATTTCACATTTAATATCCACTCTCAGCAATCGATGTAGGAACACAGGATTGTCGATCAACAAACCAAGTTTATCGGCCAGTAATTCAATTCCTAGCAAAGCCAGTCTTTGAAAGCGTTATATCATTCGATCGTGAGCCATAATCAATCCACTGCTGGATGAAGGCCTCCGCAAGCCATCACCATCTGTCATGGTCCTGCAGTGTTCTTTGATGCTGATTGGTTATGGTCCTACGTGAAAACCGGCCAAGCGACCCGACCCACGTGCACCAACAATACGCCAGCACCAAATCCAGCCCACGGCCTCGTGCCGTACACACAGCGATCGCTTTCTCGCATTATACCTGGAGATAATCGGGCTTTTTTTTTCTCCTGATGGTAGAGATTCCGAATGGGATTCTTTAGTACTTCGCTCCTCATAACTGAGCACAAATGGAATGCCTGCAGAACAAATGCAAACAGATGCCACCGTGAATAATAGTGATATGGGCGTTTGCAGTCGTGACCAGTGTGACTTTCGAAGCGAATGAGCCAGTAAGCGTTCTGCCTATCTTTTTTTTCCCCCAAAATATTTATTCACGCTGGAGGAATCCGATGAGCTATAAAGCTCATTTTCATAGATCTCCAGTAGAGGCGGGCAAGAACGTTTCAACAACAAGCAACACAAAAACACACCAGCAGTGCAAAGTACAGGGAAAAGGCAGACAAATCACCGAAAAACATGCAAATACATGAGGTCATCGATTATCCAGCAGCTTCGGGGGAAGGGGGCGCTGGATTTTCCAAAACGCATTTATATAATCGATATCATAGTATCGGCACGGCTCGATTACTGCAACTCACTACCTCTAGGGACATCTGGCAAAGGACATTACCAAACTGCGGCATGTACAAAATTACCTGGCATGTGCCGTGCCGGGTTCTGCAAGATCCGACCGTGTCCATCCAGTGCTCGCCAAGCTGGATTGGCTTCCGGTTGCCGACGGAATAAGTTTCACACAAGAAGTGGCTTGCCACAAATAATATCTTGCTGATCTCGTCAAGGAGCAAAAACCACCACACGAATTCCGGGTCATCCTCGCAGTGGCTTTTGGCTGCTGGATCATTTAACAAAGACGTGTCACCGCATCGTGCGGGATATGATGCGCTTCTGCGGCCGTCTGGAACGCTCTTCCTTCCGATATGAGGAAGCCACTGGTGCATTGCAATTTTAAATATAGATTGAAAACTAATTTCTTTATAACTGCTGTTTAAATTTAGATTTTTTTTGGCTTGTGTTGCAGTCGAAACGTCGTGAGAATTTTATTGTTTTATATTTTTATTATTTTATTGTTTCCCTTCTACGTGACTTTACCGAAAGAACCAAGATTATATATAACTGCTGTTTAGTTTGTTGTCCTTCCCCTGTGCCTTCGATGAGCACGGTTGGCTACGTTCGGTGCGAATGAAGTTCAACATACATACAACATACATTACACATTACTGGATCTGAAAGGCATTCAGATGAAAGCAGATTTCATCCATGAACGGCGCGTGAAACGCAGGCAAGGATATAAACCCGAGCGCGCTCCTCAAGCAATGCCGGTAATTAACGAGCCCGCTAAAAAGCAAGATTTTTTTCTTAATTAAAATAATTTACAGATGAACTTGAAAATCACGGTATCGCGCCGAAAGTTGCTTGATGCAGCTCTGTCATGAAGGTCAGCCGGTCGTTATAAAAACGACAGCGATTCTGATTAACGTGAGCATGTGTCGAGGAAAAACAGACATTTCTAACATATGGAAGATGAAATGCTTCACTTTCGTACGGAAATTGAATATGTATAACTCGTAGAACACCAATTTGTTCGCAGTGGCCTCAATGCACAGGGCGATGCGTGTATATATATACACATCGCTAAAATAATTGTATAAATCTGAAGAGAAAACTATATGTCAATTCAAAGCCTCTACATGTCTCCCACCAAGATCAATATACATTTATTACAACACTCTTCTGATACGCTTTGTCCAACGTGACCAATGCGACATATACTTACAGCATCCAACGATACGTAAGCTGGTGTCCTTAGAAACCAGTGGTGTATCCACAGATGCATCACGCTGCATAATAAAATACAGCACTGTTTATTATGCGACATGTTGTTCTTACCTGTTATGCAAATACGATATGGAGTACATGTAATATTCTGGGCTAGGGCAATCAAGTGCTTCTCTCTGTCGGGAACTCCCATCCACCGTATGTACATTCTGCCTGCAGGGTTTTACTGCCTGTATTGGTTTCCTCAGGAAATCAACCTCAGACACTTTATTACATCTTTAGCTGTGTTGCCACCCTGAGGCACAGCGATGCACTGACCAAAGAAACATGACCGACTGTGCATCATTAGAGTGCCCCCTTACAGCCCTGGCACACTTTTGTCAAACCGCTTACTGAGTCTTTGCTGTAATTGCAAGCATACAGGGACTCATCTACTTGCGGACATTCGACTTACGAACTTTCAGAGATAAGAACAAACCCGGTTGCCTGTTCGGACCGAGAGTCGTAAGTTCAACCGCCGCGCAATAGATGATGGCGGTGGTGGCATCTACATCAGCGGAATGTGAAGAATCGGTGGCATCTCCAGGAGATTACGCAACTTGTAAAGCTATTCCCCGGTGTTTAGTGTACAATGCCGCACAACACATTTGGAATCGACAGGAGTAAAAGTTAAATTTAGATTTAAAGCTTTCGTGACTGCAGGGATTCATATTCTTGGTTCTTTCGGTAAAGTCACAATAAAATAATAAAAATATAAAACATTAAAATTCTCACGAATAGGAGTAGAGTTACGAACAAATCGAAACTAACGAACAGACCTCTGGAACCTAACTCGTTCGTAAGTAGAGGAGTCCCTGTAGTTAATGTCTGTATAGACACACACACACTCACACAGTTCTGTTGTGAATGCCTCGTCAGCTATGCGTGCGTGTAAGTCACGGACACTCCATGGGTTGTACTTGTGTGCTAGTTATGGGTTAACAGCCCATGTATGTGCCGACACATTTAGCATCATAATAAAACATAGAAAGCAGCAGTTCGAATTACACATTAGCCACATTGGACGCACTTTATTTGCAGGCCCCTTGATTTTCCCAAACCCCTTTCTCTTCACAGGGATTATTGTTTATTCCCCATTCGCTGTCCTATTCGTCATAATTTGGCCAACTTCTAGACCCGCTGAATGCGATCACCCTTCAGTTGGGCAATATACGTTTTGTGAATCAATAATTCCACTCTCAAACCTCACCCTGCATACCTCTGCCGACATCAATGCTTCCTGAAGAAGCGCCTCACCCAAACCCCCACAGCCACCCCTGCTGAAGGTTCAGCCCCCCATTGTAATTTCTTATAGCCAAGTGAACGATCGTGTTGTGACCCCCCACCATTCGCCCCCCCCCACCCCGGATGTTTGAATTGTCTTATCCTCTGAGCAAGGTGAAGACGCTACAGGGTTGTTTTGACCACGTTGCTGTGTTTGTTCCTGTGCAGGGAGAGCCTGGCAAGCCTGGAGAGAAGGGAATCCCTGGTGCCCCTGGGCTCAGGGTAAGCGTCCCCGACTCTCACCCTCATCCCCACCTGCGGTCTCTCTCTCTCTCTCGCGCTCAACCACATTCGCTTTTCGTGAAACAAGCGATGGGATCGACGATCGGAAGTACATTTATATTGCTCCTCCACATGAGCGCTAGGTGAGTTTCTAATACAATGTTGCCTTTCTTTACGGTGAGACAGGGCCTTGCCAATTATAGGGAGGGCTTTTGGCCCACGTCTGGCAATGTAATGATATTTGTTCAGCAAGCCTCACTCTACTGGTGAGGTACAAAATGTCAAAACCCAGTCCAAAATGTTCCTTTTGAACAAATGCCGTTGCCACGAACGAAGACAACGGCCAATAAGCTGAAACCAAACAGTTGCAGAAGGACAGAACATCCATCGGTGTTACGTGGAAGGGCTCGGAATGATCACACATCCTGTGACAAGTGGAAGCAATGGGTCATGGGACAGACGAAGCACTGCTGTATTCTTTGGGGTAACTTTTTAAGAAAAAAAAAATCCGCGGCATGCGGTGCTATCTATGGGGAAAAGAGGTTCACGAGCGTACCACTTTAACCTTGGGAAAGAGGTCACCTGGAAGATTCTGAACGGCTGGTGGCGAGCTTCTGTCCCCTGGGTGGTCACGTATTGCCCTGGAGGACCGTCTTCGGCAAGACGATTTTGAACAACTTCGATTAACACGTTGATTTTCAGAAGACAAAGTATTCTCAGGATAATGCGCATCCCCCACATAGGGGGGGGGAGGGGGGGGGTTGGGGAACAATACTTCTGATAATCTGAAGAATGCGGTAGTAATAGAACGCAAATTACATATTCAGTTTGCTTGAACGATGCTGCTTGTCTCTGATGTTGCTGCGATGTTGCCTTTGCAGGGCCTGCCAGGAAAGGATGGCGAGACTGGCGCTCAGGGTCCTCCCGGCCCCGCTGTACGTTTTCACCCTCGCCAATAACGACGCACGATCGCACGCGCACTCGCATAGCATGAGCGGAACGTAAAAGAGATGAAAATAATGAAAAGCGCCTGCGCTGAAGTGCACCCCGTTTACTGGGTGTCCCAAGTAATTGTTCTTTGTTCGAATGATTGGCATTTATTTGAGTTTTAAAGTTATTTGGAAAAAATCGATAGGATGATTACAGAAAAAAAAGTATTTCCAAAATACTTGTCTCAACGATGAAGAGGGTGATAATGTGCATGAGTTTTATATGTTGCAATAGATGCATTGAGGATGCAGTGAATACGTTTTCGGTCAACATAAGCTACTTGTAATGGATTTTATCCAGTCACTAACAGGAGTAATCATGGATATACTGTCACTCAGTCGACTCTTGTGAACACAAATAGATACATTTGCACAAGAACAAGTCGACTTTATTATTTATACATAATAAGTTTATGATGCTGATGATGATGAAAGGACATGTAGCAATATAATATACTGTATCTGTGCCGCATTTCTGTTAACCGTGGCTGACTCCACCTGTGCCTATAACACCTGATCGATTGTCTGTCCAGGGCCCAGCTGGTGAGCGAGGTGAAGGTGGGCCACCTGGACCTCCTGGCTTCCAGGTGAGAAGGCCTCAAGTCTCCCAAACATCAGACTCGATGTGCTCTCAGCCACGACGGATTAGGGATGAGTTTCACATTTGAAAATTGTTGGATTTTTTTTTAAACGATAATTTTGGATCATTTGCATTATTGCATGTGATAATTGAACGTTTCTTGGTGCTCACGAAAGCAACTTCACCTGCATTCACGTGACATTTCTTAAGGTGGGAAAAATCTCAGACTTGACGCCACATTGGTGCCATCACTTTCTGTGGCTTCATATTTTCGGATCATCCAAAATGTTGTATCAAAGGCCAATGGTTCCAACAACAAAAAATCACCAGAATTATAATGGCAAAATGATCAAACCGTCAAGGGACGATTATTCTCAGAGGAAACTGTATACACCATCAAAAGTGTGACATAGCACTTAAATGCCATGAAGAGTTCTTTTAACATTCCTGATTTGCTCCGTGCGTTGCGAAGATGTTGACTCTTTGCATCTGAACGATTCCAGGGTCTTCCCGGACCTAGCGGTCCCCCAGGAGAGGCTGGCAAACCAGGTGCTCAGGTGAGTCACTGTTTAATATCAAGGCATTAATAATAAATGCAAATAGAATGCTACCGCTAATTGCACGCAATCGAAATGCTTGATTGCACCGAGCGAGCACAGACACATACGCATCATGGGTTTGAATGAATCTCACCTCAGTCCCAAGATAATCATCCGTCGGAACATTATCTAACACGCGCACCATCTGGCAGTTAGAGGCGATACAAAAGATACCTAATTGTTCAGAAAATAATGCTCGTGTGTGCCCTGCCATCGTCTCTTTTGCCAAGTTCTCATAACTTGCTCAATTCAAAAGCGCATTAGCTCTTATCGAGTACACCCTCAAGAGTGTTATTTGGCCGTTAACTGCTAAGAGTTCTGCGCCTTTGACCCGTGCTCAGCAACTGTGATAAAAAATATATTACGAAAAATTGTTACAGCTAAAAGTTAGATTTTTTTTGCCTGCAAATGTCAACTTGCTGTGGCATCTGTTTCACCACCAGAGTTGCTAGCTCAAAGGCATTCTGAACTGTCCTGTGCCATGCTGAAAAGGAGCATTCTCTGCCAAACTGGTCAAAAGAAAAAAAAAAACGATTCAAAGATCTTGATGTGTATACGTTATGGCGATGGGTATAATTATCCTACATCAGTTTGCCCTGGGCAATCAATTCCATCTCTTTATCGTTCACATGTGAGCTGCGCTGGCTTTTACTGCGTGACCATTTGCAAAAAAATGTTTGGCAAAATGCACCGTGCCATGTTTTTTTTCTAATTTGTTGCACACCCAGCCAGCCAGTGGCTCTGGCAGCAGATCGTTGCCAAGGCGTCGTTAAGTGCGCACCTTGCGATGCGTTTCACGCGGGGCTTTAAGTGTTTTTGTCTTCACAGGGTGTCCCAGGTGAAGCGGGCAAGGTTGGAGTTTCAGGTGCAAGGGTAAGTCGCGCCACATTTCCCAAGTACCATCCTCAACGGGCGCAAAACAGCCTTTGCATTGCAGCTTAATCGGAGCTTCTTCAGTTCAGCCGGAGCTGTCCGGGGTGCAGTTCCGTACATGGGGGGAAGGGGCGGAGCAGGGTTTGGGGGGGGGGGGGGCGGGCCCTGGAAAAGATTCCATTCAAAATTGTACACACTGAAGCTCATCGTGTGCCCATCGGGACTGGCACGTCCGTGGTATTGTCAAGCGTTTCCACAGCCTGCACCATATGTGTGCGCAGGCGTTGCAGGGTAACACTTTTGTGATATTTTTGAGAATAGGTTTTCCCATTTTTTTCTGGCAACAAAACAGCTGTGTTAAAATGTGAAAACGCCAAAATGAAACTTTTTACAATGAATCTTGTCCTGCATTAACCACAATACTTGTGGTCAGAATGCAAACAAAAACATACTCTGATAATATATGCATTGTCCTTGAAACGTATTGGTCCACACCAGAGACAGCTTTCTTTTGAACCTAGTCTCAAAACGGTGTTAGACCAGAGGACGCCAAAAAGCGAACAGGACAAAGGCAATGCCACTACCAGAGTTATGAGAGCTCGGGGTGAATATCTACATAATGGGACCTCCTTTGCCACTACCAAAATATGAGAATAGGATTTGTTGCCAGAAAAAAGGGGAAAACCTATTCTCATATTTTTGTACTGGCAAAGGAGGTCCCATGATGGAGTATATTTTTATATATATAACACAGAAAATCTGAAAACTACACAGAGAAAGAAAATACAAGCGGGGAACACCACGCGATAATGGTTTGGAAGCATAAGTCGATAAAATCTGTTCAGTGTGAATGTAAATTACAATTAATTATAATAACAAGTTTTGCTTATGTCGCATTATCTCCTCATAGCGCAGGCCTCATTGTTTGAGATTGACTGTAGTCGAGTGCTCGTGCCTGATATTTCATTCAAGCCCGCACCTCACCCACAATGCACCGCTTCCCACCTTCGTCATACCTCATTGCACCTCAAGACACCCCAATGCACATCACCATACCCAACCAGGCACCTCGCCTCACACCACCACGCCCAATCATATTTTCACAGCACTTTACCGCGCTTCTCCACACCTGACCTCAGTCAACACACCGCGCCTTCCTGACCGTGCCGCGTGCAGGGTGAGCGTGGCTTCCCCGGTGAGCGAGGGGCTCCAGGACCCCAGGGTCTGCAGGGCGCACGAGGCCTTCCAGGAACTCCCGGCACTGACGGTCCCAAGGTAGGCCCCGTCGTACCTGTGGCAGCGCCAACAACATCATCACCATCATCATTAGCTTGGTCGCTTAATATTCACACCACACTTCCCATGCAGCAATCTCGATGCACGCTGCAGCTGGGGACCTCGTTACTGGTGGCAGCTGCCCCTGTACGCTAGAAGGTGTACGCATAATTAGTCTATCAGTAGGGTGCGATATAGCAGATTTGGACCATGATGTCGGCACACACGGCCTACCCTTTTTCCAATAACGTCAAGGGATCCTTCACGTTCACCGTGAAAGCAGACGGTGGATGTCACCGATGAGAGCACAAGGGCGGCGCCTGTAACATGGGCAGAATCCCACCACTTTTCAAGTTACTACTATAATAATGACCATTCTGCGCGTGGATTAGAGAACTGATGGAAAATTGGAGACAACCAAAACATTTACAAGTTAAGGAAAGCGAGCGGGCTTGGGCAGGACGCACCGTCGCCAGGTGAGATGATGGCCATAGGAGGAGACTGGTGAAAGAATCGCAGCCAAAGGAGCGAACGCACCCGAGGGTACGATCACCGAGGAGAAGGAGCGATAAGATCAGCTTGTGCGCACGAGCAAGATTGATTGCGGCACCGCAAAAAAAAAACTGTGAGAGATGATGACAATGTTTGGGGGGCCTTCATGCAGCAGTGGATAGATCGTGGCTGCTACTGCTGATGGTGATGATGATTTCTGCACTGCCAGGGAATGGTATGTACAGTACATTAGCATATGGCTAATGTCAGCTTGAGGATAAGCCGCCAACTTACAGGTAGGAAAAGAATAACAATTCCGGGCGATGGTCCTTTGTCAACTCTGCAAGAGAGCCAACGACCAAATCGTTCGTTTATATTATCCCCCCCCCCCCCCCCCCCCCTTCAACAACGCGTACATTGGCAGTCGTGACGCACACTTCACGTTTCACTTTTCTGTTGCGTGTTTCAGGCGTGGCCGCGCACGATAATAACCGACCGTGGCCAACCGTCCGCCCCTTTTGTCTGTACCAGGGTGCGACAGGTCCCGGCGGTCCCCCAGGAGCACAGGGCCCCCCAGGCCTTCAGGGCATGCCGGGCGAGCGGGGGGCGACGGGCATTTCCGGCGCCAAGGGAGACAGGGTGAGGACAACCTTGGATGTCGACCACTCATCTCACCAGTACTCTCACGTTTGCGTCCTCGCTCTCACTAACTTGCACCCCAATATATGTCCCATATATATATACTCAGTTTGAGTGGTCATAGAGAGGGTTGCTGCAGTGTAATGGGTGATGCACCGCACTTGCAATCCAGAGGTCGCCAGTTGATGTTCCCATGAAGGCAGTTGTAATCATTGGGCACGTTTCTGAAACCGCCCTCCTTCCCTCAACTCTGTCCACCCAGCGGTAAAACGAGGGTACACCACAGTGTGGTGGGGTAAAAAGCGTGGGCACTCCCGACTCTTCCAAGATGCCTGTCCATGTGTGGCAGAGTAGGCCAAATACACTCTAGAGGTGCTTCTCCAGAGCCTCCTCGAGCAGATTGCCCACGCAAGCAATTGCAGGGCAGCCACGTTTTTGACCTTTTGAGAGGAAAGCACACGCCACTTATGTTCACCTTTACAAAGAGGCGAAAGAGAGTTCATTCCGAGCCTGCCCGTCCGTGTCCGTACAGGGCACGCGGGGTGCCTGCTGTGGCGAGCACGATAAATGTGCCATTAAGGAAGACCCTAGAAGGAGACGCTCACCGCCCCTTGCTCTCAAACAAAAAAAAATTAACACCATCACCGGGCGAAAGAAAGTCACGCCGAGTGGGGATGAATGAACGAGTTCAGCTTCGCCGTGGGCCGCCGACTCGCGAATTGCCCTGCTGGGCGCTGAGGCCGCACAAAGGGGCCCTTTGATGGCGCGGCATCGGTAAGTGGAAGCCGGGTTTTTTTTTTTTTGCTCAATAAAACTCGATCTCACTCTGTTTTCTTTACCTGCCTTGCCTCCCACAGGGAGATTCTGGCGAGAAGGGGCCGGAGGGCGCTCCCGGCAAGGACGGAGGCAGGGTGGGTTGTTCACGCATGCAGCGCGCGCACGAGTCTTGCTCCTTGGCGATTGTCAGCAATTGTCACTCCATCCGAACGGGTTCAGTTTCAAAACGGAGCTTTATATTATTACCGCATTATTCAAGTGTCGCGGGCCATTTTTTTTCTCCCCACCCCCCCCCCCCCCCCCACTCCGTATTTTGCTTTTATAAGCACAGTCGCCGGATATAATGATGATTTTTGCATGTCGGAATTTGACGCAACACGTCGCACAATTCACAAAACGTGGAGGTACATATACTACCGATATATATTCAGACGTTCTGAGCCAATTGATTTTTTGGAAGCAAGGCCACGCGTGCTACTATCCGAAGTACAGCAGCGTGTTTGTATCGCAAGTTGGCCCTTGCGTTTCCCCCCAATCAGTGTGTTGTCAGGATGTGTCGCTCATATGAGAACTGTGTATGCTTATTGCCAGCTTCTATCATTACATGGCAATGAATCTCAAATTTCAATGTTGAGGGGTCTTGTCGCAAAACTATACATGGGTCATTCCATAAGCGATTACCCTAGGTGCAGTACCATTATTGAACATTACATGCAATATGTAGTATTTCGCCTGCCGCTTGAATGACAACTAGTACACGTTGATTTACCGACGCCCAAATCACGTGATAAAGCGCTCGATCCCCATCAGACCATGGAAGCTAAGTCGGGTTGAACCTGGATCGTGCTTGGATGGATGAATGCCGTTCATTAAACAGGAGGCGTAGCCATTATGAGCAATAGAGGACAGTGCAGCCAAATCCATCATTTTTCTGTACTCTCCCTCCACCTTGACCAACCCGCACTGACCAGCATTGTGAAGTATGTTCAAATACCCGCACTGACCAGCATTGTGAAGTACGTTCAAATACCCCGCAGTGACTATACGGCGTGGGGAAGGCCGTTCCTCATCAAGCGATGCATTCACAAACGAGACCGTGCGTGGACACGGACTTTTCCGTATCTTTTGAACAACTTAGCTCGTGCGAACAATCAAGCGTCGGGCGAGCTGTGTTGACGTGTTGTTGTTGTTTGCGCCGTCGCTGTGCAGGGTGTGACCGGGCCTATTGGACCACCTGGGCCAGCCGGTGCTCACGGTGACAAGGTGAGGGCACATGCCACCGTGACGGTTTTGGTGATGAATGGAATCACATCCATACCTAGCATGGCGTTATTTGAAAAAGCGTTGCTGAATAAGTTAATGGGTGGATGATCGTCCAAATAGTACTGTTTATTGCTGGACGCTTGGCATATTGGGCCTCTGGCCTGTACTCAGCAACCATAATAAAACATCTCATCAAAGAAATGTGATGTTTTTTTTAAAGTGCCATTTGGATACCTTCACTTTTTTTCTCTACTATATCAAAATTGTGCTATAAATGTCATCATCTCTTGAGACAAAAACATTTGGAACTCTGCAGCTAGAAGGGCATCACCCTGTGTGAGAGAATGGCCCCAGAAGATGACATCACAGAATTACTTCTAAAGTCACTTCCCTTCAGTAGCAGAGATAGCTCATCACCTGTCAATAAAAAGCAAAATTCTGGAACAAGTTCAATGAAATTACATACCAAGTTTATTCTGCTGACATTCGTGACCAATCTAAATCCATAAAGTCACTACACTTTGAGAGCTCAGTTTAGTGTTAATCATGGGTGACTGAAATTCATGTTTAGAACCCGGGTTCTGAGTGATGCCAGAGCAGTCCTCTGACCTCTCGGCCCACCCAGACAACTCGACGTTGGACACTCCAAACTTATACACAGATCAAGCGGTCCCTGTTCTTCAGAGCAGTCTGTTCACTGTGCGGCGGTGCTGTGTCCCGTCTTTAGGGTGATGCTGGTCCTGCTGGACCAACTGGACCATCTGGAGCCCGTGGGGCACCCGTAAGTAAATCGCGATCAACATCGTCATCATCATCATCATCATCTGTCACTTCCGACAGCTCATTAGCGATGATGGGGATGGACACACATTTCTGCCACGGTTCTCTTTCGTTAATCAGTATTACCGCATTGTTGTGGTCTCAATATTAATTCCTCTAGGTCCTTTACACCTGCACCTACCCACCTGGTTTTCTCTCCTTCCCTACTCCTGACACGTGTTATATTGGTTGTCGACCCCTAGCCACGGGAGTCCACTTTACCATGGAAATCCACGGGCAGGGGCCTGCAACCTGCGGCTCATTAAGGACTGTTTTCGTGATGTTATTTATTCAGGACAGTCGCGTATTCAGATGCACTGCGGCTCTTGAAATATCGAGTCTTTTACCGAATTAGAAAAAAAAAATGCCTCTTGCTATTTTGATTGGCCGACCGACCCCTGGTCCTAACGTGCCCGCACCAGTGCGGTCGACTTTTCCTCTGCTATGTTCCAACAATAGGCTTGCCCCCGTAAAGTACAACAATACCCACGTTCAAATAAAATACCAGTGACGTCATCACCTACACGAGCTCGCGACGAACGTACAAGCAAGCAGAAATTGAATTGCGCCTACGACAAGCCTACAAATGTGCCCGATCAAGTCAGATCTCGCAAGCCAAGCAGGCTATTGGGAGCCTTGTTAAATATCAGTTCGGAGAGTTGGTCTGTGAGGTGGCCAGTAGATGGCAGTACAGAACGTGATTCTTGAAGCCATCTGTGCGGGATTTGAGTGTTATCTCCTCCTGGCATTGCTTAAACAGTCCGATCAAGGATCCTCCCTATGAAGAGCATTATTATTGGGCTTTCTTGTGCCAATTCATTGTACAAGCCTTTGCAATGATCAGAATGATCAGAATTCAGGGGCTTTTCTCTGTGCCCATTTGGCAGTTTGTTGGGGATTAGGTTAATAATGCAGGTAATCTGAAATGATAATCAATGCTTCACTGTGTATTGAATGCATCATAGATCCTCGGGGGTTAGCTGCTTTAAGGAATTTCAAAACCAGGCGAGAACTCTTAAAATGTAAAAGAGTTTCCAAACACAGATCTCCAGGCAACTGGCAAGCCGTTTGTAATGCCGTGCAACATTTTCAAAAAGTACTGCTTTTAGCATCACGGGATGAGTATGGTAGTGAATCGGTATTCACACTGGACGCTGTTCCAGCTTGTGATTTTAGTGTTCTCCGTTGGCAGTGTCATGTAGCAACATACAGACAGCTGCGGCTTATGCAAATCTGCACAAAACAAACCTCCCAGTGTCCTCAGAGAAAGTGTAAACAGTGCGTTAACATAAGCTTAACATCATAACCACGTATACATGGCGGCGTCAATAATAATAATAACAACAACAAGCTGCGTCTGCCACCTTTGGAGAAATCAGCAGCACGTGGGAGCAGATACAGTACCATCGCTATTGTTACCAAACTTTCTTTTTAGCTTAGTTACATATGTATTAACTATGCGCTGTGTATATCAAGGCCGTAATTATAATATATATTGGGGGGGGGACACATCCCCCCAATATTAAATTATGCTCAAAATGTCCCCAATATATTGCTATAAAATAGATTTGTTTATATGATTGTGGTTATGGTTGTACTTTATTAATCCCTAATCTCTGCCATTACATACAATGAAACAAGAAAAGGCAAAAAAGAACAAACAGAGACAATACACTATTAGACATTATTGTAAAAAAATAATAATAAAAAGTCCATTCTATGTGTTAGTGGTGATTTTTTTTTTATATTTTAGGCAGGAAATTCGTTTTCAAATTAAGATTTTTTTCTGGAGGGGGACCCCCAGACCCCCTGAAAGATTTGGTCCCCCCCCAATGTTGACTCCATGGCTACGGCCTTGGTGTATATATATGGTGAGCAGAATGCACAGCAGCTACGTGAATACATTAAAAAGTGACACAATAGTAACTGTCAGACGTAATAACAATGACATTTATATGGGAATGCCTCACTGAGTCTCAAGACGCTTTTTCAACAGGCTTCTGCATTGGGAATGTTTGGCCATTTCCTTTTTGTCATGATTAACACTCCTTTAGGTTTGTTAGGGTTCATTGATAAAGCATTAGCCTCACAGACCAATGCACCCTTAAGAATTCTTAGGGTTAAATAGAGCCAAACTAACGCACCTTTTTGATTCTCAGGATTCACTCTCAATGCCCCGTGGCTCAGAGAGCCACACTACGCCACTCTCTCATTGTTTATGCCCAAGGCCCACAGTTTTTATTCAGGCATAGCCGCAAGGAAACAGCTACATTAGCTGTCATACCAGCGCCGAACATCAATGTCCAATGAAGAGTAACTATTAGGAGATTCAGTTCTAAGTGATTTAGCCATTCAATTACTTTGCCTGAGCGTCGGTGAATTTCGAATGCACTGCGCTTTTAGATGTGCATACTTGGGGCGGTTGCGAAGTCCGACGCTCCATGGTTCGATGCCGCAGTCACGCACAGGGGAGTCTATTGTGTCCTGAGCACTGCAGGGCGCTTTGCTAATGCCATTGATCGACACTAACCCCTCTGCTGCAGGGAGAGCGTGGAGAGACTGGACCACCTGGACCTGCCGGCTTTGCTGGGCCTCCTGTGAGTATAGCCCCCCCCCCCCCCCACCCTACGTCTCACACCTTCAACTCCGACCACATTTACAAGCCGTACGGCACGGCGTTAATTTGGTTCATTATTTTTAATTACAAGATTTTTACCAATACATAAACATACGAATCGTGCCGTGTGTGTTTACATCCTTACATGACACATTTAATTCCACTACAAAGCCAGACAATTGTTATTTGGACATATGACCAAATCGCCCGCGATACGGTAAATTCCATCTGACCTCGTAAAGCTGAGCTTGGATATTGCTTCGGTGAGTGTCCGCTCTGTGTAAAAGGGTGCAATAGGCATTGTGGGCAGTAGAGGGGAGAGCAGAGAAATCCATTGATTTTCTTCTCCCCCTCCACACCATCACCAGCGTGGTGATGTATGGTCAAAATATTTCTCACGGCCCAACAAGTCTTGTGGAGGCCCTCATCCAGTAGTGGATTGACAGAAAAGGGCTGTACATGCATATGCACCACCTAGTCTATGAACTTAACCCGCATGGCCTGTTACCTAAGAAGTCTAACATGTTTTCGTATGCAGGTATATATGTTGCACTTCTTTCATACCGCATGTAGCCAACCATGCCAATCGTAGGTTAACATGGGTTGGCTGCATTGCCCCCAACGGCAGTAAACCTTGTGCCCACTCTATCCAGGCTAGGTGTAATTTTTTTTTTTACGGCCGGATTAAACGTTCCATTCATTTACTAAATTGACCTTTACTCAAATACAGTCGACGGCTTTGTCTTGTGCGCGCTAACGCGCACAGAGCGCCCGCCAGTTCTGGCCGTGTAATTGTGTGTCAGGTTAACAACTTCACCCCTCTCTGCCGCCATGTGCGCTGTCTCGAGGGCCGTGTGTGAACCACGTCGTTTGTGTCCCTCCCTCCGCCACCGGCACCCGCGCACGCACAAACACAAACCCGTCCGTTGTCAGGGCTCAGACGGGCAGCCCGGTGCCAAGGGAGAGCAGGGCGAGACCGGACAGAAGGGAGATGCTGGTGCCCCAGGTCCCCAGGGGCCATCAGGTGCCCCCGGGCCCCAGGTCAGTGGCTCCCTCCTCCACCCCCCCCCCCCCACCGCGCCCCAAGCCACCAACAACTTCTCAAGCTGTTATATGGTGGGAAGTTAATGGGCAAAGTGTACGTGTTCGTGTCGAGGCTGGCGAGTGAGAGAGTGGACGTATAGTCCTCCCAGGATGCGCGAGTAGCCCGGTGAATGTCGGAAGGGCTGCCGACCGATGATGGAAGCGGGCAGCGGTGTTACCATTGAATCCGTGGTGTGAGATATAGAATCACGTGGATATTTAATGACTCACATAGACACCCATATACCCATATAGAGACCCATAGAGATGTATGTAAATAACAAAATGGTAGAAAGCACTGGAGTGTTTACTCTGCGGACATAACATAACGGCTTTGAGGCACATCTTAAATTGAAAAAATGTTTGTTGGGTTAATAAAGCAGATTAAAGAAAAGCGCTTTTATCGTTTGGTATGGAAAATATATATTTTTTTTATCGCTGCTGCTGAAAAACAAACTATTATACAGAGTGAATGCATTTCTTGAAGCGAGCAAGGATTTAGGAAAGGATGGAGATGAAACGGGAAGGAAAGCCTACGTGTTCAACAAACGGAAGGGAGTTTCAAAGCCAGCAACTTGCAGGACTAAGGATAGGACAGCAGGTGATAATAATAATAATAATAATGAACTATTTCGTAAATTAAGCAAGAACATAGAAGCTTGGAAAGATGATAGCGGGATGGCATTCCGAAGTCGAGCAGTGCTGCAACTTGCAACATGGCACACATTATGAATGTGATGAAACAGTCATTCAGGTAGAATGAGTTATTGACATTGGTGGAGGTGACGTTTATGAGATCAATGGCCAAGGTAGTGGCGATAAGAGAGTAGCAGAGAAGCGACTGAAATACACTGAGAGAGCTAAACGGAGTGAATCAGTGAGCAATGGATCATCAACTACTATGCGGCGGAATCTACCTGCGTATACGAATACAAAATACATTAGTAGACAAGTAATATTTGTAATATAAGTTTGTTCGCCATTCTGTTGTAATGAGTTAAAACACTTTGCATAGATAATATGGACACATTCTTAAGACTCGCTCAGAACTAATGGACTTGGCTCACATGTTTAAACATTCTTTTTTCAGGGTCCTAATGGCGTTTCTGGTCCGAAAGGTGCACGAGGTGCTCAAGGTCCCCCTGTAAGTGATCTTTTTAAATGCAATTACATAAAATCTCACTTTATTTAATTTTTACGATTTAACTATGGGCGCATCTTGTTTCGTCGTAACCCGTAAAAAAAAAGGCCCACATTTTTCGCGACAGCTATTTACAAATGTATTTGTTCGTCGTGTTTCCCAACAGCGTGCGACCTTCACTGGCATCCTAATCCTAGCGGCAGCTTTGGCAGGAAAAAAAAAACTTGCAGTCTAAATCCAAACGTTGTTTCTCAGTGTCTGGCTGTTGCACCACGCACCAACTGAAATAATTTTAATGAAATACATGGCAAAGCCTCTGAGATGTATTGCTGTGGGCCTTGTAAGCAAAGGGGTAAAAGATTTTAGCCCGGCAATTACTTTACCCGTGCCAATGCTGGCGGATGGGGCTTGGCTCAAGTGAGCCCTTGAGGATATTTTTTTGCCATTCTCATTCAAGCTGGTTTCATGCTGGTCAGAAACATCGTTGAAGAACTGGGAATGACCGCACTACAACTCCACCTTGTACGACTTGTCGATTGACTGACTGTGGGCTTGGTGTCCAATGTAAATGTTGCTTATGAGCTCAGGCATTGTTCTTGATGGTTGGGAACCTGTACAATTCCCGCCTTTGCACTTAAAAATTATGATATATATATATACTTTACGTGAAAAAGCTTTTCTGGTCTTCGTCGTTGCTAAATATGTAACGTGATTATCCCATGTCATGGCACTCATGTTTTGTTCACTATTTCCGTAGGGAGCGACCGGCTTCCCTGGAGCAGCTGGCAGAGTCGGACCCCCAGGTCCCAATGTGAGAAGCATCCTGTTGTTGTTGTTGCATTCCACTTAACATGTTAATATTGACCAACAACGGTTTTGTTCATTAAAATGATAACCATGTGCCTCCAGAAGAAAGTCTACAGTCGGTGCATATTACCTGCTATCACAGTTAAAAGAGTTGGGAATTTCTTAATGTACTTACTTGCTATGTCGACTGACAAATACATGTTGTTTTTTTTTTACAAAAACTAAATCGTGCAGAGAAAATCGTGAAGAGGTGCATGCTGGGAAATTAAACTGACAGAGGGGAAGAAATGCTAATTAAAGTTATCATCTGGACTTCTATGAAAATAAGTTGGCTTCGGTAGAACATGTTACTAAAACAGGCTATGGCCATTCTAGCAGTGGATAGATCACAGATGATGATACCCTATATTTAGCTTGGAAAGCCTCACTACATTGGGATGTTCGGCCGATTACATGAAGAAGTGCTTCTTTGCACGTTTGAGAATGCCGAAGAACCTGGAAGAAACCCGCGCATAGAGGGGACAACAATTAAACCTACACACAGATAGATACATAGATAAATAACATCACTGTCCTGAAATGAAAGTCGAAATGTCACGTATGGAACTGAAAATAATCGTAGGTTAAAACTCAAGAGGTAGGAGATGTATGTATGTACGTTAAACTTCTTTCGCACTGTACGTAGCCAACCGTGCTAATCGGAGGTGCGGGGGAAGGACAACAAACTAAACACAAAAGGCAATTCCAAAGAAATGAGTTGTCAATTTAGATTTCAAAATGTATAGCTCTCAGTGATTTCCTAATATAGGAAGGAACAGCGTTCCAGACGGCAGCAGAAGCTCATCTGAAAGCGTGCGATGTTCGATGGATAGCCAAAAGGTGTAGACTGTAGAGTGATCCAGCCTTCATTCAGGCGAGGATCCGCAACCTGCGTTTGCTCGAGTGCCGCCTCCTTCTGGCCAACCGTCCGTCGCATTTGGCGTGGCAAAAACGTGACGAGGCCTCGCAAGAGCCGGGCGCGAGAGCGTTGTGCGGCCCGGCTGTTGACGTCGCGACACACCCGTTCCGTTTCAGGGTAACCCAGGATCCCCTGGCCCAGCTGGCCCCAACGGAAAGGACGGGCCCAAGGGCATCCGTGGTGACTCAGGCCCCGTGGGCCGCGCCGGCGAGCCAGGGCTTCAGGGACCGATCGGCGCCCCTGGAGAGAAGGGAGACGCCGGGGAGGACGGCCCACCTGTAAGTACCGCTGCGACGCACGGACGGCCATGACCTACTGGGGGAAATGTTGGGGAAAACAGCCGCCGGACCATTTTCCCGTCGTGAAAAAAAAACGTAGTTGGCCTGAGATCTGAACGGACCTGATCGCAGCCCTCGTGAGTGGGCAACTGGAACGGTGACCTCCAAAGTCGGATCTCGCGGTCAAATGACTGGATGATGTCACGCTCTGTTCGTTTGAGAAATAGCCGATTAAAGTCAGTGCGTGTGTGGGTTCGTGGATGGCTGAGAGAGAAAGCCTTCTCATTGATTGCTATTATGGTAAACAAAGCTTAGGCCTTTGCCAAACACGTAATGTCGTAACAATATTTGTTTAATACATGCATTTCTTTGTGCAGTCATCAGTAACTAGGCTGAGACTAACAAACTCACTTCACTTAAGAGCCCGGTTTAACCATGGGCAGTTAAAACGCAGATTCAAAACCAGGGTCTCGGCGATGCCGGCCCAGTGGTCTGACCGCTACGTCACCCGGCCACTTCTGGGACATCTGGTGTTCGAGTGCAGGACGAAGCAGTAAGCATCGTGTAAGCACAGCTTAATGCAACTGCTGTCGTGTTCCCGTGCGTCAACCCTCTCTTCACAGGGTCCAGACGGCCCCCCTGGTGCCCAGGGTCTTTCGGGACAGCGAGGTATTGTGGGTCTGCCCGGTCAGCGCGGTGAGAGGGGATTCCCTGGTCTTCCCGGACCTGCGGTGAGTTTTCCCGTCGTAGTTATATATTTTTTTCCTGGTCGTGGTAATCGAGATGCTTTTATGCGTTCATCGGGATGGCGTGACTTTTTGTGATGCATGAGCATTACTTAACTGGGAGAAATAAACAAAATCCACGTAGCTCCAGCGCCCCCTAGTGGAAGATTAATGTGCTTGACAGTTTTAATGCAACGATAACAAAGCAGAGTGGATTATATATTCTTGGTTTCGGTAAAGTCACGTTGCAGGGAAACAATAAAAGAATAATATATATATAAAACAATAAAATTCTCACGACGTTTCGACTGCAACACAAGCAGTCGAAACGTCGTGAGAATTTATTATTTTATTGTTTCCCTTCAACGTGACTTTACCGAATGAACCAAGAATATGAATCACTGCAGTCATGAAAGCTTTAAATCAAAATTTCAGAGTGGATTAGTGAAGCACCTCAACACCAGTAGTGTGCATTAGGACACAATGGAAAGTCAGTGTATATCGTAATCATGTTTTAATTTACGTCATATTGGCTCTGACTTATACATCATTGGCGTGCACGTGAAATAAAAATTGGAATTAAAAGCTTAAAGTTATGCGAACAAGCATGGAGAGATACGCGTGCACGGAATAACACTGAGAGACAGAAAGGGCAGCATATATTTCAGGGAACCAACACAAATCAGAGACATCGTATTGATTGTTAAAGCAAGCATGCGGGCTTGGACGGAACACATCGCCGCAAGGGATGATGTATGTTGTTCTTTCGCACCGTACGTAGTCAATCATGCTAATCGATAGACTATGCCATCAGAAAGGAGAGATGAAGCTCCCGAGAGAATGACCATCGTGGAGATGGAGCGATGAAATTAGTTCGTGCTTAGGAGATGAGACTGTGGTATCTCAGGACCGTGAGAGATGGCAATGGTGCTGGAAAGCCTTGGTCGTGACGACGATGATTACAGTCGCTCTGATTGTATTATTGTCTTGCACATGGGCATCTTTCGATTTAAAGCTTTCGTGCCTGCAAGGATTCATCTTCTTGGTTCTTTCGGTAAAGTCACGTAGAATGTTTTATTCTCATTCTACGTGACTTTACCGAAAGCACCAAGAAGATGGGCATCTTTGTTGGCTGCTGGAATGAGACACGAGTTGTGTGTTTGTATGTCACCTCACTGCAGGGAGAGCCTGGCAAGCAGGGTTCGACGGGAGCATCTGGAGAGAGGGGCCCACCTGGCCCAGTCGGCCCACCTGGTCTGAGCGGTCCACCTGGGGAGCAAGGACGTGAAGTGAGTGCCACATCAACCGGTTAACGAGCCACACCCTTACCAACACCGTGATTTCCAAAACTTGCTCGTGACCCTTTCAAAGACCTGGACTGCACCGGGTGTGGTGGCACATTCCTGTGATCCAGATTTTTGGGTTCGGTGGCCCAAAGAGATTTGTGAAACTCTCAAAACCTGCTGTGCTGTGAGGCGGACAGGAGATGGCGGTACGGCCAGTGGGCTTATGCACCCATTAGTGCCTTCGAATGGACTTGACCAAAACATTTCAATGTAGGGCCACCATTCTGAGTCTCGGTGATTAGTGAGGTTGTCCTGTATAAATATAAGGCAATGTTGAATATGTATCTGGCGAGCCCTTGTACCTCTTCCTACTGTGTTTTGTCTTTAAATTTCCTGTTCATTTTCGTACAACTTGAGGCCTTATCATCACCTCGTTTGGAAATCTTATTTAATAATTTACTTCGTTAGTGAATAAAACATTGAGGTTCCCTTGCATTCCACAGATAACAAGGCCCAATCGGATATATATATATCACTGCACCTCTCATTCGGTACACACTGGGCTTGAGTGCACCACAATGTAGACATGGGCGGCTTCTCAAGACACGTTCCTCTTTGTCTCCCGACAGGGAAACGCTGGTTCTGATGGAGCCCCAGGTCGCGATGGTGCCGCTGGAGCAAAGGTGAGCAGTGCCGCTCGGAGAAGAGAGGGCCACTGGTGGTGGCCTTGTCGCGATCCTCCCCTTAACAAACCCTTACCGTTGTCCGTGCATTCACGCCAACGCAAAGGCGCATCATTATGAGACGGGTGGGTGAGCTACAGCTCTTACTTGGGCTTCAGTCGATGTCTCACATTCGCTTCATTGGTTTATCTGAATACGATTGTGATGGTTGCAGTTGTTATTGTTTAGTTTGTTTGCTTAGTCGACCCCACTTGCTTGCAGTCGCAAGTTAATTCATTGCAGGCAGATGAGGGCCAATCATTGCTGTGATGCCATTAAATAAGTGCTCCAGATTGAACCAACCAAACAATTCATGCTGTGTTCAATCACCATGCATACCACAGGTCAAATAATATCGATGTTTCGTTCCACGCACCGATTGACGACGGAATTCCCACCCATATCCAAGTTTTTAAACCTTGCTCACTTCAAGAAAAATATAAACTCTTATCTAATACACCTTTCCAGAGTGCTGTTTGTTGCTGGCTGCTTGGCGTTTTGAGCCTGTGCTATGCGCCGGCATAAAAAGCAGTAAAACCATTTCACATCGTAATACGCGTCGATCGCAATACGCGTCGACCGCAGATTGCACCAAATCAGATAGTTACACTCCCGACCGATTGCACCAAATCAGATTGCACCAAATCAGATCGTTACACTCCCGACCGACTCAGCCAACGGGCGGAGCGGGGTCGCAGACAAACGCTCGGTGGACCCCCCGTGGTGAAGCGTGCTACGCCGCGGCCGTGTGTGCACCCTCCAGGGCGAGCGAGGGGAGGCAGGAGCGGCCGGCCAGCCCGGAGCACCCGGGTCACCCGGGGCACCCGGCCCCGTTGGTCCCACCGGCAAAAATGGCGCCCGAGGAGATCAGGTGAGCACCTTTTTCGTTGGCGCCAAAGCTCTCCAGGCCGGGCTCGCCTGCTCGTTGTCCCATACAGGGGTATTCGTGGCACCACCGCCATGATGATCATTTGTCATCGAGTTTTCCCCCCCCCACAACCACCTTGCCTCAACGTACGGTTGATGCGGCAACGTTCGACATCTTTAAAAACAAGGATTCATTTATTTAAGCGGGTTAATGATCTGGGTGTTATTGAACAAGATGGCTAGATTATTATTGATACTAGACAAACATATGTCGTTGGGGAGGCCTTTATCCACAAATGTATTTATAAAGGACTGATTTAATGTATTTTATTTTACTTGACGATGAATTTTAAAACTCAGGGTGGAACATTGGAAGATAATTTAATTTACCTCATTTGTTTTTTCGTATAGTCAACAATGCATGCTGGTTTTGTTTATCAAAATAACATGGTATGATTTTTGTTTAACTTGTTTCCACACAATTTTTAATGGGACGTTAATCACCCAGCATTAATGTCAGGCAGCACTCAGAGACTTATATTTATTCTATTTGAGAGCTTTACAAAAAAATAAACAATGACTGTGATTATGAAAACAAGACATCAAGCCTGAGTGCACCATATGGCCAAAATGTAATCAGAAGATCCATTTGGCAAACTGTAGAATGCGCTGTTATTAAACGGGAAATGTGACCGCTATTATCTGCACGTGTTATCACGTTGATATAACTTAATAAATGTCCACTGCACTCATCCTCGCGATCTATTTTTAAATGCTAGGTGGCTTTGGCCGCATCATGAGCTCTGAGTGCCACTATGTTATCTGTTGTGAATGCAATGTGAGACTGACCAATTGCGTTTTAATTTCCAGGGCCCTCAAGGCCCCATGGGTCCACCTGGTCCCTCTGGTGCCCGCGGACTGCCGGTAAGTTTTCAACGGTCGTCCACGAACGTCAACAGCCGTGATGCATTATCCCTGTCTGTCTGTAACATGGGGGGGGGTCACGATAACTCTCATAAAGATGATCCAATTTAAGTGTATTTTTTATTTGATGTTTTTATTCTGGACTCAACCGAGAAATCAAATCAGCCATCTTGATCCAAAGGGTTACCCAAAACTTGCAGCACCAAACCAGCGCTAGAAATATTATTTGCAAATATTTAAAAAAATCCGGTTTGCCCGGACAGCTATCTGCCAGTTTCCGTACTGTTATTACATATCTCCAAGGATACATGCATGTTGGAAAGCTTTACAGGATGCATGCATGCATAATTTTTTCCCCTTCATTTTTAATCAGCAGCTTTTCAGAGCGTATAAAGATATGCTTGCAATAGAATGTTAGAAGGGGGATTTGGGTTTAAAGTGGTGGGTAGCAATGTTGTCGTAATTTGAAGCGCAAAGTTTATGCCATCAGCCACAATTTCCTGCAACCAAATGACCATGAATGCTTCCGATTTTAAGGGATCTCCAAGCCAAGCAGGATGTGAGCCTGGTTAGCACTAGTTGGTAGACTATCTGGGAGTACAACGTTTCATGAGGTTGATCCGTTGTGGAGCTTTGGGGGGAGTTTTTTTTTTTCTGGGGACTTCAGTTTCCTCCCATGTGCAAAAACCCTTGTTATTGGAATTGTCCAAACATCGCAAAGCTGAATCATCCAAAAAAAACCGGTCTTAACAGTTAGTGAGACTTTTGTGGGTAAATAAAGGACAACTCGATCACCAATACTATTACCGCAAAGCAGTGGCACGTATAACAGCGCACATAAACAGAACTCCATTAAGTGCTTCCACATACTATGTAAATAAACATTATTTCGCCCATAGTGCCCACTGGCATTTCATACCAACATCATCATCCAGCAGCGTTTTTCTTAAGCAAGCGAACAGCTGCCAATAAGCTTACCGCACTCATGTAACGCCGTCATTCACGAGCATGCCGAATACACTGACATGTATTCTAATAAAACCTTATGTCGACTCACACGAGCCTATTCTGAGCATATAAAGGGCACCAGTGTTGTCAATACTATGACCACATAACAGCACTCATTGTATTATAGGCTGGCTGCACACATGTAAACGAAGATGTCATTTACTCGGATACCGAATACAGAGATGTACAATCCATCAATGTGTATTTATGGAAATGGTCTCGAATGACATGCGTGAGGCTTTCCTGGGGTAAATAGAGGACATTAGTGCGATCAATACTTTTCCCGCAAACAGCGCTACATGATAAGCTGGCTACACACTTGCAAATTGAGCTGTCACTGGCTTCCAGTTTCCGAGCGAATACGTTATAAGCTCGCACTCATTACACACAAAGTGATTGCCCAGAAATGAGCCAAAATACCTTTCAGATCCTTTCAAGGAGCATAAACCATTACACCAACTCTGGTCATCCTCGCAGCAGCAGCGGCTTTTGGCTGCTGGCCATCGACTAAAGACAGTCACTGCATCGCGCGCTTTCAGATGCGCTTCTGCATCCGTCTCGGATGCTCTTCCTTCCGATATTGGAAAGACCACTGGAGCAATGCACTTTTAAATCTCGTTTGAAAACTCATTTAGTTAGAACATCTTTTTGTGTCTAGTTTGTTGTCCTTCCTCCCGCACCTAAGCACGGTTGTCTACGAACTACAGAGTACATTGACAACTTAGGCTGAATCAACCCATCAGTGTGTATGTACTGAACTACAATGCGTTTGAATAACAGACAACATTTCACTTTGGCCGTGCTCTGCTCTTAAGGGCCCACAAGGTCCCCGGGGAGACAAGGGTGAGACAGGAGAGGCTGGAGAGAGGGGCATCAAGGGACACCGAGGATTCACCGGACTTCAGGGACTCCCCGGCCCACCGGTGAGCAAAAGCAACATCAATGCACAACTTTCAGTGTTCCTGCACATCGGTGTCAGGCAGAGTATAATAACACAGAGACGAGGCTGTGGTGCCATCTGCCGACCCAAGGTGCTGCAGTGGCGAGATGTTAACTACCTCTCCTGGTATACAGGAGGTCGCGGGTTCAATCCTGACCCTGACGCCCGCTGTATATTTTCCACATGGTCACGTGGATTTTGCTCCGGGTTCCTCGGTTTTTTCTTCCACATTTAGAATCAACATGTGTTTTAGACTATTTTGCCATTATAAATTTCCACGTGATAAGCCACTTCGTTGGGCTATCGCTTGTGGCCAGGTCGCGTCTGAACTGGAGCTATATAGCTCAGTGCACTTTACCTGGTAAAATAAGAAATAGTTTCGTTTTATAGTTTTTAAAGTGGCAGACGGGAACAGAGATGTTGCGCGTTTAACATTAATGCCAGGGCACCACGTATGTTCTGGCAAGAGTGGAAAAGTAGGGCAAAATTTATCCTGCAGAGCTCACTCTAGTGGAGGCCCTCCTGCCCGCAGTGGCGTGAGCAATTTCAGCGCTGCACCTTTATCTTAACCACCCATTGCAGCTAACCCCCTAAGTTAGGTGTAACGATTCACACCACATTGGAATTTAATGACATTTCATGACTTGGGGTCGTGATTCGATTCTAGACTTTAGCAGCCTCTAGACGCTGGCATTTTCACATGAGCCCCATTACATGCACCATTAATAAATATTTCGTTTCTTACACACGTGCTTTCCGATGCATGCATTGTGAGCTTAAAAATTGATATTAGTCGATAAATCGATGCACCATTACACTTTGTGATCATGTGTGTATGTGTTCCCTGAAGTAAGAGATTAATCCCCGTGTAAATGAACGATGGAAACTAAAAAAGCTCGTCATTAATGTTTATCAGTGTAGGCATTCGCGTCGTAGCTTGTATATGCTTAGCGTGTAACTTACAAGCCACTGTCTTGCTTTGTTTTTCAGGGTTCTTCAGGTGACCAGGGTCTCGCAGGCAGCGTTGGTCCATCTGGTCCCAGAGTACGTTCCATACAACTCACCTCAAACGAACAAAAAAACTAAAACGCATCAATTCCGATAAGTTTGTTTCGTTCATGCAACAGCACCAGCAATTATACTTAGCTTTGATGTGTTAACTAACGGGATGCGATGTCGTGTTCCCTTACGTCCAGGGTCTTTCTGGCCCCACCGGCCCTCCAGGAAAGGATGGAAACAACGGCCAGTCCGGCCCCATCGGCCCTCCAGGTCCTCGCGGTCGCACTGGCGAAACTGGCCCTGCGGTGAGTAGTAGAAGCGAAATTAACGCTCACGCGTTTTTCCCCATATAAACTTTCATGTCCCCAGCTAGTGGGTCCCCCCCTGGTGGGGCAGTGAGCCCAGTTTTCTCCCTCTTCATTTTGCCCTGTCGCGCTCAACTCGGCCTGCTATTTACAGAACTTTGTCCCCCCCCCCGCCTCCCCATTCTGTAATCAGCGCGTTATATCGAACTCGTGTTGATTTGTAATAAAAAATACCAAAAAATCACATTTTCCATTTGCTGTAAGCTGCCGCTCAACGCAGTCGCAAAGCACGTTTCTCAGTCATTCAGTCAAGTTCCTTGTCACTCATTTGTGGATGTGACCACGTCCTTCCGATGAACGTCGCCCATTAATAACCCTATAAGGTTTAAAGCTTTCGTGACCGCAGGGATTCATATTCTTGGTTCTTTCGGTAAAGTCACGTAGAAGGGAAACAATAAAATAATAAAATATACATTTTTATTATTTTTATTTAGAATATGAACCCTACAAGGTATTATTCGACCAAAATTGTCTCACCTGCACAAACATACTACAAGGCAAAACATTTATCTTCTGTTTATTTCCTCACACTGCTCAGCTTTGGAACCTCCCTCCCAGCATCTCTTTTCCTCAGTTCATATAACCTAAGTTAATTCAACAAATACGTTGGCTGTTATTTTGCTGTACTACTATAATTAGTACTCTTAGTCGCTGGTCACTTTGCATTTTGGGTGTTTTGGCCCTGTATTGGGCAACACAAAAAAAAAACATGTAATATCACTGACTCACTACTAACAATCATAATCTGTTAATTTAGCACGTACATTATCGCAGACACTCGTAATCCAAGTGTGGCTTTCCGGGTTGGACAGCGGGTTGATCATTTTTACTCTCAATATTTCACCACGCACAACTGCAGGCATCTTCAGGAAATGTTACTTCATCTTTGCACTCAATATATATATAAAGTTTTGACACTGAGCGATAAACGGGAGAATAAACGCTCGACACGTGGCCAGTCCCAGAAAACCACTCTTGGGATTCGTAATCTGTATTTGAAGGCCCTATTTGGCCCCTCAGTAAGCAACGGCTTCCCCACATCTGTCGTGAAGGTTCCTGATCGTCGATGACTCCTCTCTTCTTGCTCCAGGGTCCTTCTGGTCCAGCCGGTCTCCCAGGTCCCCCAGGCCCACCCGGCCCAGGCATCGACCTCTCCGCCATTGCTGGCATCGGCCAGACCGACAAGGCCCCAGATCCCCTGCGCTACTACCGCAGCGACCAGGCCTTGCCCGAGCTGAGGCAGCACGACGCCGAGGTGGACGCCTCCATCAAGTCTCTGAGCGGGCAGATCGAGGGGCTGCGGAGTCCCGAGGGCACCCGCAAGAACCCGGCGCGCACCTGCCGTGACCTCAAACTCTGCCACCCCGAATGGGAGAGCGGTGAGGAGTGGCCGCATTCACGGTGGCAACAACAACAACAAAAGCAGCCGTTTAACACTGAGTAGTGGTGTGGTGTCATCACAGCTCTTGTGCCAGGCTAGGTCTCAGGAGTTTGGCTGCATGCACACACTGTGCATTATGTAGGTTTACATGAAGCGATTGCCATGACTAAAAGAAAAGAAGGAGTGGAAGACTTTTGTCCAGCCTAATTGTCAGCCATCATGTGATGAACAACAGAAGAGAGATAACTGGAATTGAGTTTTTTGCGCAAGCGCTGAACGTTTGCAAATTTTTTGACGTTCCCTTGACATTCTTTTGCAACAGAGCTCTCTTGACGGTGTGTTTGAACGGTTTCATTTTTTTCATTTTCAATACAGCACATTTTAACACACCACCATCATTCTGTAACCTCTGTTAGGAAACTACTGGATCGACCCCAACCAGGGCTGCACTCTGGATGCCCTGAAGGTGTTCTGCAACATGGAGACCGGCGAGACGTGCGTGTACGCCAACCCACAGACCATCTCCCGCAAGAACTGGTGGCAGAGCAAGAGCGCCGACCGCAAGCATGTCTGGTTTGGCGAGGCCATGAGCGGTGGCTTACACGTAAGTGATTGAATCTCTGTGGGGCTTTTGACAGGGCCCTCCCTGGATGTGCCGTGTCACAGTTGCAGAACAAACGGGTAGTCAATATAACAGAGATGTCTCATACATTAACTTACGAACCATATTTAATAATACGATAAGATGATTTTTTTTACTGTAAAGGGTAGAGCTTCTAAAGCAATTACAGTCCAATAACCTGTATTTTAGCTGTATTGGAAATCACTGGGAAGGAAGACTTTTCAATTTAAGAGAGATACGGTAACTTGTAGAATTTTTCGGAATAAATTACAATAAAATCATAGTCCCCTTGTGCAGCCATTGATAGACACATGGAATGTGCACATGGAGATAACCGAATAGATTGTTCAACTCATGACATGACACCGATAATTACACTGCAATTTTTTTTTTAAAATGTACCTTTAAAACCATTTGTTTTTAATGTACAAGACACGCAATGTTTGTCCAGAGAGGAGAAGCACTGCAACAAAGAATGTCATATCACGATTTAGTGTTTACTCAGATTGGGACATAACACGGAATTTGACGACCTGTGCACGTGCTGAAGTGCAGGAGAAAATGTACGTTCTCCTTCTGTGGCAGTTTAACTACGGCGATGACAACCTGCCAGCCAACACGGCCGCCATCCAGATGACCTTCCTGCGGCTGCTGTCCATGGAGGCATCGCAGAACATCACGTACCACTGCAAGAACAGCATCGCCTACATGGACGAGGAGACGGGCAACCTCAAGAAGGCGCTGCTGTTGCAGGGCTCCAACGACATGGAGATCCGCGCGGAGGGCAACTCGCGCTTTACCTACAACGTGCTGGAGGACAGCTGCACGGTAGGGCTCTCTCGTCTCTTTCCTCATTCGTTGCGTCGCCCCACGCAAACAGACCCAACTCTAGTTGCGTGGGGCAACGCAGCCAGAGCTGGGCTATCCAATTGTGCATGCAATCGATTATATACTCAAATGATGATCAGTTCGCCTGGTACACTGGAAGGACCAGGCTGAGTCAAACTGGATTTTTCTCCGGGTCCTCTGGCTTTTCCCTCCACATTTAGAAACATCCGTTTAGAGTATTTGGCTGTTATACATTTTCACATTTGTGGCCAGGTCATTTCTGAAAAAGAGATTTATAGCTCAGTGGGCCTTACCTGGTAAAATACAATTTAATACATATTTTTACAAAAAAATGTATTCCTGTACTAATTGCGTAATGTCATAATAGTGACTCAACCGGAGCTGGGCTATTAGATGATTTAGCTAATGAAATACTCTACAGATGATCAATTCTATCACCCGACTAATCAGATAACACAATAGCTGGGGCAAAAACGGTTTCACCTCTTGCCGCGTGTGCCGCTGGATGGGAAGTTGATGGGAGAGCCCCCTTCCCATCAGCACGGTTTGTGAGCATGCATTTGCAGGGCCGCACCTTTACTTCCACTCTGACGCGGACTCATTTGCATAACACGTGTAACAAACTGCCGGTGCTGCTGCTGCTGCTGCCGCCCCTTTGTCACGCCTACAGAAACACACAGGGGAGTGGGGCAGGACGGTCGTCGAGTACCGCACGCAGAAGACCTCGCGGCTGCCGTTTGTCGACGTTGCTCCAATGGACGTCGGCGGCCCTGACCAGGAGTTTGGCCTGGACATCGGGCCCGTCTGCTTCCTGTAAACGCGGAGAAAGAAGATTTTTTTTTTAAACAAACCTGCCAAGGAAACGCCGTGGCGTCCTGACAACGTATTTTTTGCGAGGACCCCTTGCACTCACTGGGCACCCAACACCAGCCCTGGTCTTTCCACACGCTTATCTTTTGGATTTCATGGCAGAGTGTTTTGTATTATTTCTACTTGCTTGGTGTTTGCGTTGCCTGGATGTGGGTACCCGGGTAATTCCGTTTGGTTCTCGACGCGAATTATTTTGCAGGCGGAGAACGCGTTTCAACATTGGTGCTGTTTTTTTTTCAACGCAAAATTACCACAGCAGAGGCTGGGGACAGCCTGCTGGAAAAAAATGCACAAGAGCCTGACATTCAAAAAGCAAAGAGTAAACTGTACAACGACACACGATAGAAGAAAAAAAAAGTACACAGGATTAGAATTGCAACTTTTTGGGGGAGATTATTTTTTTTTAAAGCTTGTTTTCAAAAAATATTGACATGACTTAAGAATGATGGTACAAACGAATGGAACCTGCTTAAGCAATTAGAACACAGTGAGAGGTTAATGCTTTCCTTTGTAGCTACCTCAAGCAGACAGCAAAAACAAAAATCAAAGCCGTTGGAAGCCAAATGCAAGCAGGACATTTGTAGCATCCCCCCCCCCCCAAAAAAAATCACACACACTTGCAAAATGTGTTCCTTTTTTCAACAACAAATGGTGCTTTATGTTTATGAGATGTATACAACCATCCTATTTTGCCGACTACGAATCAAACTTGAACGAGACAAAAAAAACTATTAAAATTTCCTGGTGCTGTTGAACAAAAAAAAAATCTTGCTTTGTGCGCTTAATGTCGTTATTTCGTTTTTATTTTATATGAAGTTATTTCTTCTGTGCTCTTTTTGAACTGCTTAACACTCGGTTAACGCCTAACTATGATCACGAGGCGGTGTTATTTATGATTCCCCATGGGATGCTGCATTAAGCGAGCCAGGTACTTCAACATATGGCTAAAGAGCGCGTGTTTGCGATACCTTCTATGTTTTCCAAAAAATAGGCATGTGGATTATACATTTCTTCTGTGATATGTTTATTGTATTTTTTTTCTTTCCCTAAACAACGAACTGGCCCATCCTACGCAGCACGACTTTGCTTCTTGTAATTAAGCTAAAGGGGATCATTGTCCAAAACAAAGTTAGTCAAGGTAAATTGTCACAGGGGGTGGAAGAAAGGAAAATATGACCGTTTTGTAAATGTATAAATAGAACCATTGCTTATAACAAGTTTCTATGTTCCTGGATTTGACAAGGTACAGTGAAGAAGTGGCCTTTTTATGCTATCTCTAAATTAATCTATAATAAGCTTTCTTAAACCCCTAACGCTGTACCTTGTTTCTCTTTTCCTCTTCCAAATAAAAAAAAAAGTAGAATATTTTCTATCAAAAAGAGACCGCTCTATTAAAGTTTCTTACTGTACAATGTACCTTTGTGAAAAAAAAGAAGAAATCTTTCCCTGGGACAAATCATGAAAAAGAATGAAGTATGAAAATAAAACATTTAATACAAAACCATGCTTTTAAACATGTTTCTTTCAAACAATTAAACCAATTGCAGTTTCCCTTCCCCACAAACACAACAAATGCATTGGTCCATTTTGATTGCATGTTGATTTATGCACGTTAAAAGATTGCACTCTGGTAATAATTTAATACTTATACTGATAAAAAAAAATCTACTGCGAATCAACACTCATTGGAGGAAACATCACAATGAAAATTTGTATTTAGCGAGCACCAGAATAGGACTAAATGCATTGCCGGTAGAAGGGCTAGTTATCGGATCGAGTTCATACCATCTCTGGTTCAATACTCATAATCTTTATTTAGAATTCTACCTGGTTGCCACAAGCGCACGTCTAAGGTCATGACAGAAGGATTGTATGACAGGAGTATTCTTTATCGAATGTGCCGTTGATGCAACTCGATCGGGGACCATGAACCAACGGGGTCCAGGCATCGGGCGGAGAGCATGCATTGTACTTGGGGGCCCATGCCAGCCACTCAAGGACACTGCTCTACGAATTAAGTGCCGTACCAGGACACTCTGGCAGGGTATAACAAAGCACCACCATAAATCGTCCCAACACCCATTTTCAATCAACTGCTGGATGACGCACGTGGCCACCACACGATCAGTCATTGCCCCACCTCCCGTCTTTTCAGCTGCCAGGACAAAACCCAACAAAGGAGACCGCCCCAGCTACCCACGCAACCTCAAAGTGCTGCATCTCACATTCCATCCACGCGTTTGTGAAGGCGATGCCCGCACAACATTATTTTGTTGGGTTATATACGCTGGCTCTGAGTTTCAGTGCACTGGACTTGCAAATCCAGAGTTTGCAGGTTCAATTTTCACAGAGCAGCAGTTGAAGCAAACGGCCTGCTTTATTGGGTCGTGTGTGGTAGGGTGAAGTGTGGCTACTATCTCCTCTTCACAGATGTCTAAGCCAGCGTGATACGTTTTATTTAGCTGGAAGGGGCGCATCACACAGGCGATACATGACAGCTCTGCCTAGTTCACAAATGTGAACCCCAACCTCCAATCACCACCACATACCTGTCAACCCCTTTTCAGTGCCCTACCTTATTACAGACCAATTCAGGACCTTATTGGTCACCCACGTAACCCTTAGAAATCTCAACGTTCATCCTACAAAGTCCCATCATAAGGGAGAAACACAAGCAAATAGACAAATAACATTGTTTTGCTCAAATTCCTGTACAAGAATACGGGTAACAACGTTTGAGTTGACAGACATGTCATCGTCCTGTCAACCCCCAATGGTTTCAAATGTGTGGCGGCCCTCACACTGATGAGGTCTTAAAGGCGAAAATGCCCCCCCCCCCCCCTCTCAAAATTAGTGAAGAACACTGCGCTACAACACATAAATGTGCTGCACTGCATATGACGAGCAAGATCTCGATACCCTCACCTGCGACATAACAGCTTTTGAGACTTATGTACAAGTGCATGCTGAACATCTTTCGCACCATACGTAGCCAACCGTGCTAGTCGGAGGTGCGGGAGAGAGGGGCATGGAAGCTCACTCAGCCGATAACCAAATCACCCAGAACGTGCCCGATCTCATCAGACCTAAGGAAGCTACGCAGGGTTATTTTTTGGGGGGAGACTGGATAACGCTCGGATGGAATGATCACCAACCATGCGGAGACAAGACAGAGGTGCTGGCCTTGGGCGTTGTGGGCAGTAAGAGGTTCATTCTTGATTTGAAGCTTTCGTGACTGCAGGCATCCATACTCTTTGGTTATTTCGGAAAAGTCACGTAGGTAGAAAAAAATAAAATAAAACAAAAAGTAATATATCGCGACGTTTCGATCGCAACACAAGCGGTCGTCCTCAGGCGGAAAAAATAATCCAGCAGTGAGGACGACCGCTTGTGTTGCGATCGAAACGTCGTGATTAATTATTTTTTGTATTATTTTATTTTTCTACCTACGTGACTTTACCAAAAGAACCAAAGAGTCCAGTAAGAGGTTGCAGGAAAATCCCACGTTCTTCTGCACTCACCCCACAAACACAACCCCCCTCCCCCCCACACACACTCGCCCAATCATCACTACTGACCAGCGTGCTGAAGTATGGTCAACAGCCCTGCAAGGCAAGGCGTGGAAATTGACTGACTGTGGAGGTTTGTCAGCGGCTACGCTGACTTTTGGGGGCGGCTTCGCCATCCAGGTGCGTTTCTGCGGCCGTCTGGAACGCTCTTCCTTCCGATAGTAAAGCTGTGCACTTAAAAAAAATCATCATCTAGATCAGGGGTGGGCAAATTTTTTGACTCGCAGGCCACAATGGGTTCTAAAATTTGACAGAGGGGCCCGGCCAGAAACAGATGGATGGAGTGTTTGTGTGAACTAATATAAATGACATATAAAACTCATTACATGAAAGGATTTGGCCTTTAACAGGTAGCAAAGCATTTATTTGCAAGGCAATTTAACAAATTGCACGAACATGAACAATACAAAAACATGTCGTAACGTGACTGATCAAACATCATGAAAACATATTCTTGGTTCTTTCGGTAAAGTCACGTTGAAGGGAAACAATAAAATAATAAAATATATATAAAACAATAAAATTCTCACGACGTTTCGACTGCAACACAAGCAGTCATCATCAGGTGTGAAACCCAACGGCAAGAACATTTGAAAGAAGTGGCGGTTTGTATTTATTTATTTTAAAACGTTAGCACCACGGATAGCGATTTGACAGTTTGTTTAGATGGACGAGTACATCTATGTACGGAAAAAAGGAGGGGGGAGACGAAAAATTAATGCATGCTGTCTGAAAGCCACCGTAAGCGTGAACAATCAATTAAGACTCGAAATGGTTTATCAAATTCTTCCAATGATGAAAACATTTGAGGCCTGCGCCCAAACCTCACTTGAACTTCTTTATGATCTACATTAACAGGTTAGAGCGGCCATGCAGGCTGTGTGTCGGAGATTTGGCTCCAACCTCGCTGCAGCAACACATCATCACTTTCAGTTTCAGTGGGAACAGTGTTGTTGATCTCCCATTTTTGCCAGTGCATCCAAGTCTGGAGTTATTTTGGTTGTGGCAATTCTCAAGATAGATCTGAGGTGCTGATCCGTTAACTTTGATCTGTGACGGGCTTTGTTGGCGTTCATGACGCTGAATGTCTGCTCACACACATAAGTTGAGCCAAACAAATTCAGCATCCTCTGTGCAGTCCTCCGGAGATTTGGAAACGTGGCTCTGTTAAGTAAAGCATAAAAGTCATTCAGTTTAACAGAGTTGAACTTCTCCTTTAGGACGGAGTCAGACTGAAGATCTATCAGTTCTAACTGCAGCTCCTGTGGTGCTGTTTCAGAGTCTTGTGACAGGGGACAGGACACCAGCTGAAGTAACTGTTCAATGTTTTCAAAATCAGAGAACCTACGGCACAATTCTCCGTGCAGGTCCTCAAGTGATTTGCTGTTTTTTTTAGTTTCGCGGTGCCTCTTCCTGCATGGCAAGTGTGGGGAAATGAGGGAAAGATTTGGTCGCAATTTGTTTGAAGAACAAAGTGAGCTTGGATTTGAAGGCTTTCACATGTTTGTACATGTCGTGAACAAACTGATCTTTCCCCTGCAGTTTCACATTCAGCTCATTCATGTGTGAAAATATGACCACAGCAAACGCAAAGTCACTAAGCCAGTTCTTGTCGCTTAGCTCAGGGAATTCGTCAGATTTCCCCATCAACTCCAAAAATGCGATGATGTCCTATTTCAGCTCCCACACTCGTTGTAACACTTTCCCCAAACTTAACCAGCGGACACGAGAGTGGTACAGCAAGTCCTGATGATCCGCATCAGTTTCCTCCAGGAACGTAATAAATTGACGGTGCTGAAGTCCCCTTGCTCGTATAAAGTTAACAAGTTTTACGGCTGGATTCACGACATGATTAAGCTGCAATACAGACTTACACAGGGATTCCTGATGGATGATGCAGTGAAGGAAAATAAGATCCTGGTCAGGGTTTTCCTCTTTCACTTTGTTCTGGATTCTTTTCAGCAGCCCAACATTTTTTCCAGTTAAATTTGGCGATCCATCCGTTGTGACATTGACAAGTTTACTCCAAGGTAGCTTCATTCTTTCAATGACAGCAGACACCTGGTTATACAAGTCCTCTCCCCGCGTTGTTCCTGTCAGGGACTCCATGGTCAAAAACTCCTCTGTTATCGCAAAACTGCCGTCAATGCCTCGGATAAAAATGAGGAGCTGAGCAGTGTCTTTTATGTCCGTACTTTCATCCAGTGCTAGTGAATATAGCTCAAAGGAATCAGACTTTTTGTTTAATTGGCTGGCTATATTTCCATCAATTAGTTCCACACGGCGAGTCACAGTCCTGCGTGATAAACTGACTTTTTCAAATTTGCTTTTGATCTCCGGACACAAGATGTCTGCTGTCTGTACCATGCATTCTTTTACAAACTCGCCTTCGGAGAAAGGCTTGCTAGCCTTTGCTATTTCGAATGCCACCATAAAAATTGCCTTGGTAGTTGACTCTTGAATCGCAGTTTGTCGGTGAAAAAAATGTTGATGAGTCTGTAAATTAGCCACCAACCTCTGAGCCGTAGCCGCCCGTTCTTGCGTTGACCTGCTTGCTAGCGTAGTTAGCATGCTTCGTAGCAAAGTGACGGCTGATGTTGTACTCCTTGAAAACTGCGACAGTTTCTCGGCATATCAAGCAAACAGCCTTCGATTGGACTTCAGTGAAAAAGTATTTTGTTGTCCACTCCGTGTTAAACACTCGGCACTCATTGTCCACTTTTCATTTCGTTGATCTGCTCATTTTACAGAAGGGCTCACAGGGCAAAGCGAA